AGTTATGGCTAGTAAGCTAGATTTTTAAGTATTCTCTTTTAGTGTTAATAATTTTCTTCTGTCTCTTCCTAAGTTCACGTAATGCTCAAACTAGGCAGAATTTGGGTTAGCTTAACAGTGACTGGGATGCAGTCAGATGTTGAGAGATTTTCTTAGTGGGGTAGTAAAGGAAAAGTGGCCAGGGTACCTTGCATCAGAACAAAGCAGAAGGGGAGGTATTGGAATTCAAATGGGAGACATTGCCCTGTCATTATCTGAAACCACGGTTTTGGTCAGCATATCATTTATTTTTATTCAGAAAATATTCTAAGGTAAAATAAAAAATTTAAAGATAATGGGTAGTTCAGATTATGTCTAGAAAAATTAGGCTCTTCAGAATGAGAGGATACAGAAACAAAGAGGTGGATGAACGTGATTTTCTCCCTAGTCTAGAAACTATCCAGAGCTGTACACATTGAAGCTTGAAAAGAAAGTCTCAGATGAAGTGCTTCATACTGAAGGGATGAAAAGGTGGCCCAGCTCAGTGGTTAAAAACGTGGACTGAGCTGGACTGTGCCTGTTTGACCTTAGGCAAAACTTACTTGCTTTTCTGTGCCTTAGTTTACTCATGTAAAATTGGAATGACAGTTGTACTTATATCAAAGGATTGTGAGGATTAAATGTGTTCATATAAAATGCTTAGAACAGTGCCTGATACATAGCCCTATTTGCTTGCTTATCCTCATGATATAATAAAGGCTGAAAATACAAAGATTCAAGTAGTATTTTGATAATTTATCATAGATCTAAAATGGATTAAAGAAAGTGGAATTGGTGTACATTGATTTTTGTGGTTGAGATTTGGAAGATAATGATCATACTCTCCCTTAGGTAGTGCTGCTGTCAAAGACAGTGCTGGGCTCGATGGATCCTTGGTCAGAGTAGAAAAATGTGAAGTTATTGTTGCTTTTTATTCATTAAACTAGAAACTGAAGTTTTTAGCTTGTTAATTTCTAGTTAACACGGAGCCCTGGGTTTCTTCAGGTAACAGTGCCATGTGAACTTTAGAATGTCATCAACTAAGTTGCTTTTCAAAGCATCCAACGTAATTCTTTTCTCTGTAAGAATGACATTTTAATAAATGTAGTGGGAAAAATTGTAAACATTGGAATGAATGACCTGGGTTCCCATGCTATCTTTGCTCAGTTTCCCTACTTGCAAAATAAAATGAAGTAAAAGAAAAACTCTGGTTCTTCCCAGCTCTTGGTAGTGATTCTTTTATTTAGGTTGTACTTTGCAGTAATTATTAGTAATATGTCTCCTAAAATATTGCTCTTATTTTATAGGAAAAAGAATTTAATAGCCACAAGGTCAGTTACACAAGCAGGTTTTCTAAGATGAAACATCAGCCAAATTCTTGGCTTTCTAATTTTCTTGCAAGAAAAGCCTGACTTGCCTCTCAAGAGACTTACAAGGAACTTAAAATGTTCCTTATCCTCACTCATCCCGGCTGACTCCCCTTTCCTGCCATGGCGTCCTGTTTTTCATAGTCACCTGCTTGAAAAAACCCTATCTTTCACTTGTCTTCTGAATCTGGTCTTTTGCTGTTCCTCTAGCCCACATACCCCATTTCTGAATCTCTCATATCACCCTACTCCAACGACCACATGAATGATTTTGCAGGCCAAGCTAGTTAGTGAAGTAAGAAATTAAGTTTCCCAAGTTTGTATAATCAGTCTTGATCTGTTTAAATTTAAGGTAAACCACGTTTGATTTAAACACACACACGTGTATACACACGGCTGAAAGCCTGACATTTTTGGATTCAGTTGAATAGCACCACTGAAAAACTGGCTTTTATTTTTTTTCTTAGAACTACGGCGAGCAGTAAGAAGCAGTCTGTGGAAGAGGGAAACAGTTGCTCATCAACATGAGTATGGACCAGAAGAAAACCTAGAGGACGACATGTACCGGAAGACTTGTACGGTGTGTGGCCATGAACTGACGTACGAGAAAATGTGATTTTTAGTTAAGTGATCTGTTTTACATTTAGATACATTTAGATAATCCTGTTTAAAATTCACCAAAATGTCTTCATAGATGAGAGAAACACTTGTATAAATAATGCTTCAATAATTATAAATGTTAGGGCTTAAGAGCAAGTTTCAGTTAAGGTCCAGCAGGTCTGGCTGTGGGTAAAATACTGGGTCTGTGACCATTTTTCTACAATAGGGATGGGAGCTGAGCAGTAGAAAGTGGGTTCAGAAGTGTGAGGTTAGAGCTAAAACTGAGAAATAAGCAACCAAGGTAAACCCTAAATTGGGGTAGCAGGAAGTTTTTTAGTAAAGGCAAAAGCTGACTGATGTGGATTCTTATTCCAAGAAACAGCCCAGACGGTGGTAGACCACCGCACAGCAGAGGCCATGCCAGGTCTTCCAGACTGTTCCTGTCTCCAGGTCAGGGAGTGGGGAGCTATTGCTGGGACAAGTCCTGACTGGTAGCAACATACAGGGAGTTGTGGGAGTCTGATCGTGTCTTCTGTATCCTTAGGGTTTACTACTGTAGAGACCTTAATATTGAAATATGGATTAAAATGATTAAACAGCTATACTGTTGTTGATTAAAGAAAGTAGTGATAATAAGTTGATCACAACTTGCTAACATTTACTGAGCATTACTGTGTGCCAAGTAAGCACCATGCTAAGTGCCTTACTACAGGTGCATCTAACCCTGGAGGGAAGGAGGCTTGCTCTTGCAACCTGACTTCACCCCAGACCCCTGGACTAAGTTTAGTCAGATATCCCCCATCTTGCCAAAAGGATAACAGGGCATTTATATCTACTCAGAGGATTTGATCCCATGTGTTGATTACAGGGTCTATGCATTCTTTGATAAAAACAAATTCAGATTAAGTAAAGTAGATATTTTCAAGTTGTTCTTTGATGTAGCTTTTTATCCTACTGCTACAAATAGGAAATTTTTATACATTTTCATTTTTCTGTCTAGATCAGTTCTTGGAGTTGTGCTTGAAGGAAGGCAAAAATCAAAACAGGTCAAGCCCAAATATAGTACTAATTGTTCTCTATGTAAGTGTTCAGTATGCTAATGTTTAATATATATATTGAGTGTTGACTTTGTGTTACGCTAAATATTACAGCTCAGTAAAAACTGATTCTTAATGGGCAGCAAGACATTCTTGGGACAAAAAAAGGTACCAGCTTGATGACAGAGTAACTAAGGGTTCAGATTCTACTTACTACCTTAGGTAAGTTATTCCATGGGCCTATGTGACCTGTCAGGTGGACATAATAATCTGTCTAAAGACTGTTGTGAGGGTTAAATATGGTGAATCTATATAGCACTTGGCACATAACGGTCACTTGTTAACAAGCACATATTATCAAGACCGGTTTAGTTATAGATTTATTTAGGTAAGGTATGTCTATTCACTCTTCATCAAATTAAGACAGTCCTGGTACCCAAATAGCCAACTCTTTTATTTTTACTCTGGTTGCCAAGTTCTGTCCTCATCTTTCAGTTAGTAACTTACACAAATTGTTGCTCAGTACTTTCCAGGAAAAGCAAACTTATCTTCACATGAACTGCTTTCTGCATAGTTCCTGGAAGGGAGATTTAGAATCAAGGAAAACAAGGATGTTCACTTTGATAAAAGCATGTTAAATGGCTTCAGTACAGTTTAACAGAATATTGATATATTGCAAGGTACAGTGTACGGTGACATGCCATTCTTTTGTCTCTCTGGGCTTTATGTGGGAAGAGCAACTGTTGAATGTTTGCTCTTGTACCTTATTTCTTCAAAATTCAATCTCTAGTTCAGTTTTTCTATATACCTAGCAGCCAGGCTGGGACAGAGCAGGGTCACATCAGTGAGCTGCTATAAGAAGCAACCATTACACATGAAGAGAGGATCCAAGAGAAAGGAGGTGAAAATCTAGGAATTCCTCTAGGATCTGGATCAAGTAAGTATAACTAGCCAAACTCTATAATGTAGTGCAAAGGATTACAAAGCAGCTTAGGGTCAAAGTTATCAAAGCCTTACAATGCTTATCCTTTAGCTTCTTGAGGACAGGAGCCATTTCTAATTAATGACATAGTTTGTGGGAAGGAGGAACAGTATAAACAGAAGAACATGCAGCTAAGAACCTGGATTTTAGTCCCCTTTCTGCCAGTAATCTGCCATGCTGCCTTAAACTTGTGAGTACTTCTTGTTCTTACATGGCATGGTGTTTAAAAATCCTAGGAATTCTCATCTATTGTGAAGATTATAGTCTGTAGCCACTGAATGTAAACCAAAGAGACCCATGTATCAATATGGAAAATGCTTAATGTATCATTACATACTTATGATACACTAAATTAAAAAAGATACCTATATTGTACAAATGCACAGAAATACTACTAGTTGTGGAATTATTGGTAAATTTTTTCAAAGGTTTAATGAAAAATTCTAAAAATGCTAGAAATTTGGAATGTCAGATAATCCCTTGTGTGTTATTTTACAATGTACTAGTTAAGTCTCAACACCAGATAGGAAACAGGCTCAGAAATTAGTAGTTACGTGGACCAGATTGCATAGAAATAAAATCCAACCCTACACTGAATGCCAAATAAGTATAGTTTTAGTCAATCTAGCTACTTCTAACATCACTTTAGTATGTAACTCACTATATGACCTTGGACAGCTCAGTCTCAGATTTGAAAACCTGTACACACTGCAATTACCTGGGAGCCTTAACTACCAATGATGTCTGTGTTCCACTCCCAGAGACTCTGGTTTAATTTAAAAAATTACTTCAGAGATTCCCTGGTGATGTATATCCAGACAAATCTGGAACTGTTACTCCAGGCAGTAACACTTTTTAATAACAGTAGTGTCTTAAAATACTATACTTATGAAAAATATCTTGAAGAGAAAACTTCAGATGGAAGTAAGTATACTTTCAGTAAGTAACCACCAATTTTAATGTTGACTGAGATGATAAATCATTGAGATACCAAAGTTTAAAAAACATATTTTTAGTTTTATTTCAGCCATGTTAGGTTATCCATGAGCTGTGAGAAGCTATGCTACTTAATAATAAACCCATCAGTTCTATGTACTACTTTGTAAGCTTGACACCTAGTGTTCCGCATACCTCAAATTAGTTATCTTTTGTGCCATAAGGAAAAAATATATCAGAGAAAAGTTGTATCTGTCACATATATAATACACCTATGGTCATCATCACATTATTGTTATTTTAGGGGCAGTTAAAGGTAAGGTAACACCATTTTCACTGTCCTTCAACTCCTGTTTCCTTTAGTAAGTGAAAGGATGCTACAAGAAAGCAAGCATTCAAACCATCAAAACTAAGACAAGTTATTGTGAGATTTAAAAAAAAACTTGACATTAAGGGGGAAAAATGACTGTTAGGCCTGCAGGGCACAGAACTGCTGGAACACAGCCAGGATATGTGGGTCTAATTCAGCAGTGAAGAGCAGGTTCTCCAGGGTGACCATGTATTGCTGGATTATTTGGTGATGCTGTGGACACAGGAAAAAGGGTAAATGTTTAGGCCAAGAAAAAGAGCACTAAGCCATCTCGCAGAACATTCCCCTCAGCAGCTCCCCGCACTGTGGAATGACAGGACCAAGCAGGAAAAAAGAGTGTGCCGACTGGAGTTACGGCCCCTAAAAACCCCCAACATTAATAAAATGTAGGGGGAAATAAGAAAAAAGGATATTCAATAACTTAAATCCAGTCTGGCCTGCTTCTGCGTAATGCAATTCATGCGTCAAGGTAGTGGCAACAGCATGTGCTGCTACTACTGTTACAGACTAGGTCCAGCCGTGTCTCTCCTAATTAGGACAAAATACAGTATGATGTTTAAAAGTTACCCAGACAGGGACTAGGAAGATTAAAAAAGACAGGGAAGGTGGTGTACATTACAAAATAGGAATGGCACAATGTTATTTGTTAATTAACCATACTTAAAAATCATGGTCTCTGAAACGTAAGAAAAATTTTGGAAACATTTCCTTTTCTTTGCTTTTTTTTGGATTAGAACATTATTAAACAGATTTTTTACACAATTAACCAATGGTCTGTTATTCTACAAAAACCCATGCCTCATTTATCTTACTGAAAATCAGTGACTTGTTGAGCCTAAGTGGAAAAAAGTGTCAGAAAATGGAATACTCTCTTCTGTGTGCACATATATAATCTTTAATATACTCAGATTCCTATAGGACTAGAGGCTGTTAAAAATTCTTTTTAATTTGACAGTATCTAAAGATCTAGAGTGAAGTTCTATTTGGAGGCCTGAACTTTTTTTTTCCCCTTTATGTCTTCTGCTTTAATCACTCTTCTCGAGATCAAACAAATAAGGAGTTGGGATGTTTAGTGCCCAAAGATACCAAGGATTAGTCCCCTAGCAGAGAGCAGGTGTTGCATTTTGCTTTCTATGAGGACCTCAGGGGACTTAAATAGTACCCCTAGAAGCAACGACATCATTTGAACATTAGATTTTAAGGAATTCTATAAATCCAATTACTGTTCCCTTAGCATTTACCCCCCACATTTTGTATTACAGCTAGGCTTTCCAGCAAAGATGGCAATTTGGAGTCTGAGTGAGATAGAGCCAATTTAAGCCTAAATATTCTGATGAGCAGCACTAGGAGCAAATGGATATGAACTAAAGGGATTACAGGTACGACATAACCTCCTGACAGATTTGATGAAAATGGAAAACCCTTGTGGCTAAGAATAGTGATATTAGTATTATCTAATCAAAGTTTTACACAAACCTGTAAGAAGATCTGCTGGAGCCTCTCTATACAGTTCTTATACCACGGCGTTAATACACTGGTCCCATCAGTTTCACATCGTACTAAGTGCTCGGTCAAGATCATGATAAAACGCTGGAAATGGGGTACAAATTTCCAGAGGTGTTAGAGGGAGAATTTTATACTTCAGAAACAATCACATTTTGACCAAGAGACCTCAAAGGTACTGCTTGTTCCACTATCTTTGTGGCATGTATCCCTAGCCGTCACAAAATTAATACTGTCAGTGTAGAAAGGCAGACCAGTGACAACATGAGTTAGTACATCCTTTCTGGCAATACATGAAGACCTTTAATGTCCAGATTACTTACGCTAGTAATTTTTCTTAGCACCTATTCTAAAGACATAATCAGAAATGTTAACAGGAATGTGTACACAAAAATATCCATCAGGATGGAAAACAGTCATCTAACTAGATCAACAATTGGAAATAAATATGAAAGAGGTATTTAACAAAGAATCCCCAAGGTTTTTTTTTGTCTTTTTAAAGCGTGGAGAAATGCTCATGCAAGAATGCTAAGTAAACAACAGAATTTAGAGGTAAACATGGTTATCTCCAAATAGTGAACTCTATTTCCCTTGTAAACTTTTATGGTCTTATAAAAGAGCATGTATTACGTTTATGATTAAAAACTATTTTTTTAAAAACTAAAGAATTGTAATTTTCTTTGTACTTATCAATGTCCCAAGCCAAGATACCTGAAATATGACAAGGAAGAGATTCTTTTGTTCACTCTGAGCAGATTCCACTTTTTCCTGCAGTCTTTCTATTTGTTCCTCAAGAGCCCCATCTTTCCTGTCACTGCTTCTGTCGTCATCATCACTTCGCTACAGAAATGCAAAGGAACAAAAGGAAACCACCATTTAGAATTCCAGTGTATTAAATCCCATCAAGTAAACAGGAGAGTTTTACTGTCTCTGGTCAAATGCTATTTGAAGACTTGTATGCTATAGTAAAAGTACTCCACTGTCCCAGACACACAGGTGTACACCCAAAGTCCTGTGGGTGCTTATCTAGGTCAGGGAAATTCAGTGGTACTTATCTTGGGTGACGATGGTAGGAGTGTTTGCAGAGGTCAGTTATGCCTTTTACAAGATAGCCCATTCGAGGAGGAAACGTGTCATGTTTTCCCTCCATTCAAAATGAAAACAGCTTTGAGCTCCATGGAAAACATACAGTTGATTGTTACTCACCATAGTTATGTTTTATGAAATTGCCATGAACCCTGAGTTAGTGAATGCTGAGCCCCTGCTCCTAGAGGAAATATAGGGTTAGGTTCTTGGGAGCCTCTTATCACAACACGTTCACCAACTGATACACAAACCTTGTCTGCTGTGTGTTTCTGTTTTAAAGATATGTATGTCTGATAAATAATTATATACAGTAATTGCTTTATACCAAAACACTAGCTGAGGGGGATTTAACATTTTTCTGACCTTGAGTAACGTAGCCATAAATTTCCTTGGCTTTCAGCCCCACAAGAATGTTGTCCACTATGCTTTTTTAAAAAATTGGTCGTCATCTCATGAATCCACAAATGTAGTAGCAGCTTCTCCATCTTTTCCGTCACTTCATCACAGACTAGATGTTACTTTAGTACTTGGGAAGCAGCCTCATGTACAGACTGGTGAATCTCCTCTTCCCTCTTCTGGATGTATGTGTGACACTGCTGATTCATGAACACTGAACTCACGGCCAACAGCACAACAACTCATGCCTGAAGGAAGCTTACCTAATATATACTTTTCGCATCAGGCACATCATAGCCTTCCTGTGCTTAGAAACACTAGACAGCCCGCAGCCCTAGGCTTAAGGGTCATTTTAAACAGTGAAATCAACAAAAAGCCCAGCACAAACATGAAAAATGTAGCACTAATATACCACGAAAAGGACACTCTTAACAGTATGAGAAGTGAAACAGAGAAGGCAGAGTGTTGTCTTGTTCTTGTTTGACCTCGGCTGGGAACAAGCCCACTGGGCAGCTCAAATTTTTTTTTGCTGCTCAACAAATGACTGGGAAAGCACTTCATTCTGTATTGGGGTAACTAATAAATTTTAGACAGAAGGTAATTTAAAAAACAAAAAAAGAACCTGCAAATAATGAGGATAGATAATATATTCTTAAAACTGTTTTTCTTAGTTGGCCAGTGGAAAAACCGACAGCATTGGTTTTCAGTCACTAATACATCACTATGTGAGCAGCACCAACAGGGGCACCCTGCTGATCTTTCGTCCCCGAATGGGCCATACAGCAAAGCTGGGCAGGCCCTCGTGCAGCTGAAGAGGCTGCACATCCCTGAAATAATTCAGAAATGGCTGTGACTGACATAATAAATCAAAGCAGACTGTTCCAGACCCTCTGCTGGCAACGATGGACTCAGCACACCTCTGTTAAGCTTAAACAATTCCCTACCAGCTTACCCTGAAGAAATTAACAGCATGTGCTTAGGTGTGGGGTTTTTTGGTAAGACGCAAGAGACAGGCATGATTTTACAGATAAAGGAACAAGCTGAGAGGTTAGATAACTGGTGTCACACAGCCAGCAAGTGGCAGAGCCAGACCCTGACTCCAGGTGTGTTATGTACTGAGGTCCTTTTAGCAAGAAGGTAGGCATCATCAAACCTAGAAAACTTATTAGTTCCTTCTAGAGAATACTACTGGTAAGGCCCCAGCTATGCCAGCCTCTTCCATGCTGCAAGCAAAATGTTTGTTTTTCATTCCTGCTTTTATCTTTAGCACAGCATCTGTTATGGAGTCTAGGCAATGGGGTACACATTTGTCTTTTCCTAACCCTACACTAAGGCAAGGCTCTAGAGCACCACTGCTGATACACCTTCTGTGATGAGGGAAACGTTATGTAAATCTGCGCCGCCCTCACAACCACCACTAGCTACACAGAACTACTGAGCACTTGAAATGTGGTTGGTGTGACTAAGGAACTGAATTTTAAACTGCATTTAAATTTAATTAGCTTCAAGTTACACGTTGCTAGTTGTTACCCTACTGGATGGACACCACATACCTAGAGAACAGTGCAGCCTGAGGGAAAGCCCCTGCAGTTTGTACATGTATAAAATGAGGACAACACTGTCTACCCTGCAGTATTTTAGATCTGTACACACGTATGTCTATGTGGAGAGCAGCCCTCGAACCTGCTACAGGTTCATGTAAGTCATTAAACTTGCTTTCATCCTCTACTCTAGTAAGCACGCATAACACTGGACAATACTGTCCTGACAAATACCTGCACTGTTTTGCTAAATCACAGCACACAGCAAGCTCACTGCTTCCACCCAGATGGCTACAATACTAAACTTACTACCATGAGAAGTACTCTGCAGGCCTGGGAATGACTACCCCACACGCCTCACAGTACTGGGGACTCGGTGAACACCGAAGGTCTTCTCCGTCTTCCCCTCCTGCATCAGAAACTCAGAAATACGAGTGTCCTCCTTCCTTCTCTTCCCTTTTGGGAAGGCAAACATGAGACTGACCCAGAGACGGTGAAGTATGGAAAAGGAAGGTTTGCGGCTTCCTAGGCAGGTTCACCACGCAGGGTAACAGCAGACCCCCAGGACCTTCCTCTTCCCCCTCTTCTACAGACAGCTCTGCAGTGATGCGGTCTCAGAAAAAATAAGTTCCCGTCAAAGTAATGAATATTCTCAAGAGTTTCTGGTATACCGTCTTTGACCATTCACAGTGGACACAAGACTTACCCGTTTGTGCTGTCTTGCAAGTTTTTCTTTAGCTTCTTCCAGCTCTTTCTGGATCTTCAGAACATGTTTGTTCATCTTACGAATTGTGGAGTGCAAGATTTCCCAAACAAACAATCTTAAGGTAATAAGACATTTGGTTACTATTTGTCACACTACACTTGTAGAAAACAAGATCTCTCAACTTTCATAACCTACTCATTCTTAAGGTCTGACAGAGTCTTCTACTCTTTAGGCAGAATAAGTCACATTTCTCCAGCAGCACGAGTGATTTTACTTGTACTGTCAACTGTGCAAGCTTCTAGTGCCACTCATTAGAATCAGGTGACCTTCCCGAAGGTAGTATTGGGTTCTTGTCATTTTTCTTATTTCCATCTCCTACTAGACACACATAGAAGGTATGTGTACATATTCAACAAAATGGAAACCAGAAAAAATACTAACATTAGGAACAAAAATATATTTTCTCCCTTCTAAATTTAAACACAAAGTATTGGAAATTTCTTGAAATGGAAACCTAACCTAAGGCTCATTTCACATGCTTTATACTATTTAGCACAAACTCAGCCAGTTCTCTTAGAACGTTTAAGAACCTCATCAGTTGATAACTGTCAACTGTTGGGCTTTAAAGAATGAGCTATTTATGTCATCTACTTTCTCAGCAAATTGTAGGTGCTTTAAAATGTCTGTGGCATAATTTTTTTTTAAAGTAGCTTCTTTACTACTTTTCTGTCCATAAATTAGATTTCATAATCCCCTAGGATATACAGCACAGAAGACTGCTTCCTTCTACAGATTTTGATCTGGATCATGAAAGTTTAAGTGGAAGATAATAAAACAATCTGTTCATAAAACTCAAAGTCTACGATGTTAGCCGACAGGATAAAAGAGCAGAGTACTTTAATTCTGGAGAGGCTGGTCAGGGAAGGCTTTGCAGAGTTAAGAGCTGCAAATATAAACCACTCAGGATAATGGCTAATACATACTTGGGTGGTCAGTTTTTTGAGATTTTGCAAATCTAAGAATGTCTCTGCTGCCTTCATTTGTGAATGCCACCTTCACTGTTATGATTATCTTAGATCATACCTTTTTGCTATAACGATTCAGTTTATTTCAGACTAGAGTCCCCTACCAATAACAGAGATAATGAAGACGACAAAGGTTTTGATGGGTATTTGTCTTGTCTTTTGTTTCCTGTTTTGTGGCAACTCTTGCTGTCCCAGTCCCAATCAGTTACAAAGCCTATGGACTCAACTTCATGTGTATGATCAAGCTTAACGAAAAATCTCTTTCCTTTAGGGGGAAATGAATCTACAATGAATCTTCTGTGTATTAAATCTAGGATTTTTATGACTGAGGTGAGACCTCTCTCCCTCACAGGCATCCAGGTGCCCACCAGGCTTTCCTCAATGCTTCCTTGATGGTCACTTAATCTACGGTGATGTTATATGATTTCTTCCCGTTCCTGGTGTGCATTTCAGGTGCTCAACGGAGCTGGAACTCTTGCCCGTGTCCCACTGACATACAGCCTGATCTTCTCCCTCAATAGTTTGGATCTTTTATAAGCATTTCTACTTGACTGGTTGAGTCCTAATTCAAGTTACTTGTGTGTCCCTAAGAGACACTGCAACCTAACTGGCTGAATGTCTACTGCGCAGGAATCTTTGCCAAGTCCAATCCTATCAGATTGGATCATTACAAGATTAACATCAACCTGGTTTGCCCCAGAATTTGGAGCTCATATCTGAAAGATCACATATAAACCAATTCTTAGAAAATACAAAATCTGTAAAATAATCCATATTACCTAGTAAAGTCACGAGATAGTTCTGAAGAGAAGATCCAGTTTGCTACTGCAGCACAGTCAACAATCTGTGTACGAATCATCTTATCTACTAGCACAGCGATCATCTACAATGAGGAAAGAAGAGTTACTAAGGTAAATCACACTTACATGTAAACCACAATAATCCCACTGCTACAAAAGTAAAATAGGAGGGCTGTGAAATTCATTATGAGTGGTTATGGAACTGATCAATTTGACCATTAGATCCTAAGACTTAGTTTGGCTTCTGCTTGGCTCTGGTACTTACTCTAAGAATACAATAATACCAATAAAGATGGACTGAGCAAAAAGACACACTGAATGGGAACACTTAAATTGTTTTTTAATTTTAGATGATACACACAAAAATATATAATTTCCATTGAATCTTAAAATTAAAAACTATAATGTTTCATTATGAAAGTCTTAAATATATTCTGAAATTTTAATTCCTCTATAATACATGGTATGAAAAAATATATTGAAGTCTGAGAAATCTGGAGCTTATCTGTAGAAACTGGATAGACTAGATAATTATTTCCTATCCAATTGGACAATCTTCCAAGAAATAAACATTCTTACTGTTTAAAATATGTTGAGGTATTATAATCCCAAAACCAATTATAACACTTGCTTTTTTTTTTTTAACACTTGCTTTTTAAAGAGTGACTCAAACATTAGTACTTCCACAGCACTAAAATCACAGATTTTATTATCCAAATTTTTTAAGCCCCCTCCTTAATGGAGGCACTGGGGATTGAACCCAGGATCTTGTGTATGCCAAGCACACGCTCTACCACTGAGCTATACCTCCAACTCCCTACAGATTTTGAAACTATTGTATAGTCAAATTTCATGTTTTACAAACTAAAACAATGATATTAATTGCCTTATTATTATACCTATACAATCAGTACCTCAACATGTGTAGTCAGTTTTTACCTGTGGATGGTTCCGCCAGACCTCAAACATGACTCTTAGAACATGTAATTTTCCTTCATCACTTTCAGCTAGGGTTTTGAAGACTTCATGAAACCTTTTGATAGTAGGGGAAAAATACCACGTATAACCTTATTCAATAAGCAATTCAATGTTTTTAATGCCCATACAATGTTATTCAATTTACAGTGCAATATATAAATGCAAAATAACCAAACATTAACCATTAAGGATATAAAAGGTATGATTAGGAATTTGTAGTTTGTATGCAATTTGTCACAAAATCTTAGGAGAATCACAATATACTATCACTAGCCTAGGATTATAGTTTATTGTGTATCTAAAAATAAGTGATGGCTAAGGAATTATCTTAAACACGAATGCAGTATTCTGACTGCACCTTCTCTGGGAATCTTGCAAGTCATACAGTAACGTGGAAGTTGAGATGGGGTGAGGAGTCCAGTTTCTTTGCGTGGCTGGAGGAATACCTATACGTTCTTTCTTCTTTTAGACTGACGAGTTAGAAAGTTCTGTCTTTAGATGCCAACCTCTGGGTGGCTCCCCAAAATGTAGCCACCTCTCGCTTCTGCTTACCTTCTTTTAGGAAGATACTTAGACAGGGTTCTTGACTTCTTACTGTATATATGACTGTCCTATGGACCCAGGTTTTCCACTCATTTCTCTAAAGGTCTATACAAAAAAATGTACATTCCACGCATATTTGCAAACTGTACATACCGACCGACAGCAGCTGTAGGATGGCGGTTTTAGCTACCACAAATCAAAACCCATTATGTCAAATTATATGACAATACTATTCATATCTTCATATTCAACAATTTTAGGTAAAAATTACTATACCACTGGTATTTACCAAGCAAAGTTCCAAACCCTCAAGAAAAGGTGCATGTTCTGATTGCACTTACTTTGCAAGAGCACTGAAGGAGTGGCTGAACGACTTGGCTGCTAAGTGTAGCAGAGTCTGTACAAACACCTCTATTTTCAGTGGGTTAAAACTGAACCCTTCATCTGAAAAATAATCCACAGTTAAGAGAGTCAGAAAAATGTTAAGTAATGTAATTCTTTGGTCCTTCACCTGAATAACTAAACAGATGGCACACTCACATCCAAATACTAAGTCAGACAGCAATGTCTTTGAGTACTAATAGAAAACAAAAGGCCATCACTGATATCAAATACTCAAAATATAAAACTAAGTATAATCTCAATTCTTAGTTTTTGGGGGATTGTTTCCCTAATTCTTCCATATGATCCATTTCTTTTACAAATACCACAGAGATTTCCTTCTTCATATCTCTCCACGTGGTGGTAAGATAATAACAAAATCCCAGCAATAAACAATGCAAATACCAATAATGTTTTATTTTTGATTAAGTCATTTTCTATGCTTACGTACAGATCTAATAAAATTTCCCCGCAAATGGTTACCCAGTTGTCTCCGTAGACTTTTCTTCTGTTTTACTGATTAGTCTTTGTTTTAGTTACTGTAGTTTTAAAAAATATTTTAATATGTGATAAAGCAAGTCCTTCTCATCACTTTTGGTCTTATCTATTTATTGACGATAAACTTAGAAATTATTTTACAATTTTCCCATTCTTGCCCAGAAAAAAATTTACAGATTTTGGTTGGAATCACATGGTAAATACTCACTATGTTAAACATTATTATTATAACAGCTTAATTTTACAGAGCATACAACTTTATAATACATCAAGCCTTCCTGTGCAGGAACCTCTCTAAAGTGAGGAAGCAGGGAATGTTTAAGGGAGAAAATACCTGGGTTCTAAGGAAAACTGACAGGCTGGACAGGCCAAACAGATACATTGCTTTATGAGTATTCTGTGAGATTTAAGAGGAACTCATGTTCCAGAATTACGTTTATACTTTAACCTGACCCATACATAGTTCCATTCAAGAAATATTTAATTGTTACCGTCATCATCATCCTGGTTAGGATTTGGTACATCTTTCAGAATGCTGAAGATTTCATCATTCGTTGCTTTACTTTTAAAGGCAACAGCTAAACAGAGGGCAACTGAATGTCCAGGAAGAGAGTCTAAACGCAGAAGGGGGAGGAGGGCAGAGAGGAGAATTAGATGAGGTTTTAAGACGATTCTCACAAATAGTTTAGTAATTGTGAAACTTAAAAAAAAATTTTTTTTTAAAAATAGGATATTCTTTATCCCAAGATCAGTATTTAATCTATATAAAGATAACCATATGTGAAAGTTTCATTTAATAGGCCAATGGTTTTTCACTTAAAATACAGCATAAGAGAGAACTCTCACCTCAATACTTCCTTAAGAACAATTAGCTAATTGTAGTTCAGAGTATAAAGGGTACTGATCTTCCTCAGGAATGAGGGGTGAGGGGAAATGTGGACATAGTTGCAATTGTTCTTTGACAGTCCTCAAATCCCTAGGCCTCTGTAAGCTGAAAAGCCGAGAATCAACTGTATTTCTTTCATTTTTGTCAATGTACCCTTCCTCCTCCTTCTTCTTCCTAAGACAGCGGAAACTAAGTTTGAGTTTGAACAAGTAAAGGCTGCTAACTTAAGACAGATTTTTTGCTTTTCTCTTTTGCTGAATCCACATCCTTGAATCTACACTAGCCAGATGCTCATGGGCTGTGACTCCACATGTTTACCATTGGTTACTATCTGTCGAGTCCTTGTATGAAACTTGTGCCAATATATACTGTAAGGCATCACCAGAGCAACTGGAAATCTACATTTAATGTAATGTGGACAAACAGGTAACATAAAGGCAATCCTGACATAGAATATGAGTAAGTAAAGTCAATTACAACAGGTCACATGTGCTGTGTGCTTTTCCTTGAAAGTGAGAGAGAAAGTAAGTGGGAGAAAAAAAAAAAAGAATCCCCTGCTGTTAAGGAGTCTACATTCTACGTGGGGAACCAAGATATTCACATAAGTAGTAGCCGGAGAGCAACACAAAACTGGCTTGCTAAAGGCTTAAAAAACATTTATATGAGTGGAGCTTGGGCTAGACCCTGGAGAGAGAACATGAATCAGAGACAAAAAGGGCTTTCCAGAGCCGGGTAATGGCACAAACAAAGGCAAAAACCATGAACAAGAAGCACGGAAAAAATAAAAAGGAAGTGGGCCTGGCTGGAGTAAAGGTCCATCTGGGAAGAAGTGACATATACATATAACAAAGTAGAAACAACTGTTAGGAAGGCCTTAAATGTTAGGCTGAGTTATTTCTATGGGAAAAAAGAAAGCTCAATGTTTAACAAAAGTCTGAACTCTTTGATATCAAAGACTGTATCTTACTGTCCTCTGAGGCAGTACAAAGCAGAAATCAAAACTTGGCACTTGTAAGTGTCACACCAAGCTTTGCTCTTTCAGGAAAACACAGTGGCTGAGAGCAGGACTACTCAGCTAGTAAGCCTGGATTTGAATCTGGGCTCTACTGCTCAAACAATCTCACTCTGGCTTCACCTCTTTGAAGCCATTTCTTCATTATAAAATTGTTATAATAAACATACCTATTTTTCAGAGTTGTTTTAAGGATTAAGTGACATAATAACATAGGAAATGTACTTAACATTAGGATCAACTGAGTTTATTTCAAGGAAAGCAGGTACAGTCTGAGGTGCAGGTGGAGAACCAGGAATGCAGTATGAGAAAGCAAGGGAGTGCAGTGAGTATCAAGATGCAAAGAAATGCTACAAACATGAAATGGGAAGCTCATGGAGGAGCCTGTTCAGTGCCATCTGAAAAAGACTAACTTGGAAAAACTCCATACTTAACTCTCTACTAGTGATCACCAATGTACACCCTTACCTTCATTAAGTGTAAAGCACAAAATGGCATATCAAATTATAGTCCCCCTGATTTACAGTGCAAAAAATGATGTGAGCAAAAAGTAGGAAAAGCATATTTAAGAATTTACTTCTAGAGACACACTGCTGGTCAAAAGATAGTTATGTGCACCTATGTTCCCACACCTGAACTGTTATCAGATGAAAATCAATTCAAGGAATCTCCGCTGCCATGAAAACCATATATTTCATTTTGATAAGTTATGGTTCTAAATTCATCCTGCTATACTTAGCAGCACATTTAAAATGTTATAGATATAAAACTAAAAACAAAACTAAGAAAAAAGAAAAAAGTTAAAAGTCAGAAATAAATAACTTATATCACTGGGAATGTTCAAAATGATGATCGGGGGAAATAAAACAACAGTGGCTGGTGAGCAATCACTTTTCAAACAGAAAATATAAACCCAATAAAAGGAAAAGATCACTTTCTCCACCTTAAATAACTGGCTTCAGAGAATACTTTCATCAGTACTTTCTAAAAAGGGATGGATTTGTTTTATTTTGCTACTTACTGCTACTTTCATCTCCATACTTGTAAATGCAGGTTGGATTTGCAGGACATAGAGCTGAGAAGGTAGGAGGGACAATATCTAATATCCGCTGATGGTAAGACAACCTACAATACAAGTAAGAGCCTCAGAAAATGTCATTCATCAGTTCCATTCTTCAGCAACATCCAACTTACCCAGAAAGTCACAATCTCCAACACCCTGGACTCAGCTGACAACCAAGAAGTAAAAAGGGAAAACAAGTTCTTTAAACTTTTGTCTAGGCCAGCACTTCAGAGCTCAAGTCTTCTTCAAAACTTACTGGTTTGCACTGAGATGTGGGCCAGTGGGTCCACGAGCCTGGTGGCCAGGGATTTGGGGTGGTGATGATGGTGGGGTGAGGTGAGGTGAAGGAGACAGTCTGCATAGTTGGGAGGCTGGTTTATACTGCAGCAAATACTTATTGAGGCTAATGGAAGCCAAGTTCCTTAATGCCGAAAAGGTATCTAGAAACCATGGCAAAGGGGAAGGCTAAAAAAAAAATGAGATGCTGGGTTGGAACTAGAGGGATACACATACCTCAGTAGACATGAAAAAGTTATAGACATGCCTATATGCATGTGTTTATGTGTGCAGAAGTATATGCACTATCCTTGTCCATCCAGAGGGCCTAGACCAATGATACTCCAATAGCAATAAGCACATCAAATGTCCAGATCTTGGTTCCTAAATATCATACTCTACTACTAGAAACTCAGACTCGAGTAAATAGATGACCCCAGGGAAGGGGCAAGGAAACACAAGATGAGCCTGGAACATCATGTGCTAGAAATAAGGAAATGCTCAATGGAGGGGGGACATTAAAAAAAAAATAAAAAAAAGACACAGGAGCCACAAGGGACTCCCAATGGCCAAATAAAGGACAATTTGAGCCTCAAAATAAATAATGACAGTAATGAATTATAACTCACTGAATGAAACACATCCATTAGTCCCTACTGATATATAAACCGAGGAATTAATAAATGGGTGAAAAAGGTAAGCTCTTTCTTACAATAGAATAATAACTAATAAAAGCAGAAAAAATAATGTAAAAAGAGACTCATCACAGTGTTGGTAGATAATGGTAGGAGTTGTCGGTGGAGGTGTGATGAAGAATAGGATATGAGTGTAACCTCAGAATATCTCCTTCAAAATATTAATCAACTATAAAGGGAAAGCTGGTGAATTTAAGGTAGAGAAGCATGACAAACACTGATATGGCCATGTGATCATTTTCAGTGGTGGGATAATGCAAGACTTTGAGTCATGAGGACACATCAAGGAGACACAACAAAATAAGGCCTACATTCTTTAAAACTGACAATGGCACAAAGACAGAAAAAGAATAATAGCTATTGAAGACTGAGGAATCTGAAGAAAATGACAACTAAATGCTACACATGTTTCTGGATAGCATTCTGGACCAGAAAGGAAAAAGACATTTTTGGGATGGCTGGCAAAATTTCGGCAGCCACCGAGTATTGTATAGTAGTATCACTGTATGCTGGTCATGTAGAAGAGTGTTTTTGTTTTGGGGGAATATACAATGGCCTGATAAAGGATGACAGGACATCATATTTTCAGCTTGTTTTCAACAGATTCAGAAAAAGACTGATATAAAGAGTACATACATACAAGGACTAATCATTAAAAAAAATGTAAAATGTTAACACTAGAGTATCTAGACGAACACAATACAGCGTTCTTTGAACTATTTTTGGCAACTTTCCTGAAATTTGAAATTATTTCAAAGTATATTTGCCAAAAACAAAAACAAAACTTATTGGCTTAATTCACATAGAATCCAGATGGCATGGTTGCCTAGGTTTTTCTGCTTAAATCTTGATTAAAAACTGAAAAGGAAGAGAGGCAAGTACTTGGATTTTAAAAATGATATTCTGGACACACATCACAAATGCAGAGAAAAGAAAAATTCCTTCACAGAAGTTAGAAGACCTAAGCTAAGGAGAAAACGCAAAGAGCTTACCTCATACATTTTTCTAGAACTTCTCTTACAAACTTTGGTTTGGGACTTTCAGGATCTTGAGTAAGACAATCTGACCTAATGAGGAGATATAGTTTAAGTTTTTATACATCTCACTATACCTAACCTGTACATAGCTACAAATAGTTCCCTTCTATCTAAATTTCATTTATCTATATAAACATCAAAAATAAACTACATCTTTCAGACTGTGAAGAAGATTGCTTTTATGTTATAGTTTTAATTAACAGTTTTTTAAAAAACTACGGTTGACTGTAGAGAAAAGAAAGATGCAATGTAACCACTTACCAATCTTCCCAGCTCCAACGGAACTGGAAGTTACTTAGATGATGGGAAAACCAATTAATAAACCTATACAGAGAAGTAGGGTGACGACAGAAAAGGATGAATGGTTGCAATTTACAGCAGGTTACATAATCCTTCAGGCAAATAAAACCATATTTTAGAGTTAAATAAAAAGCACACCTCTCTAGTTACAGCTGTGTCTTCTCCTGCTACTTGCCCTTTTTTGTACAAATTCTGTAACTCATCTTCTACTTCAAAAAAATAAGTCTATCTCACTCCTCCTAACAGTGCTATCCTTTTTAAGTGAATAAGAGATGAGATTTGAGTGCCTGTTTTGTATCAAGTACCTTATATATGTTTATATAATTTAATTCTCACAATAACTTCTGAGGAATGTACTACTTTCCTTATTTAATTGATAATAAAACATAGGGTGGGGAAAAAGAGGTTAAGAATATTTTATAAACGGAGGAGCCAAAGCAGTCTCTCATCACCACACCATGCCCTTCTCACCACAAACAAACAAAAAATACCATTGAAGTTCCTTTTTCCGTTAAAAATATTTATCTCATCTAACTAAAGAGGGATCACCTTAGTATACTGCATAATGTTATGAAATTTGTAAGAGCCCGATGCTTGAATGAATGGCATAATTGGGATACTCAATACAACTGGAGGTTTATTAATTAGACTGGAGAAAAAACTCAGCACTTTCTTAAAGTAAATCCCTCATGCATCTATAATTTCAATCACTGAAATTACTCAAGATAACAGGTCAACAAAATAGGATAGCCCCTACTGATAATTTTCAAATATTCCATTTGAACAATGGACATGATAGATTATAGAAAATGTTCAGTATCTGCCCTGATCTAATTTGGGAAACTGACAGAAAACTCAATATGGTCTTTTGTACAAACTGAGTCTTGAAGCTGTAGTTATACAGAAGCTAGCTATTTTAGAAGCAGATACTAACTATAAACAAAAATACACATGTTATATATATACATATAAAATAAATGTACAGTATTAGACTCTGCTTTTACATATGGGTTAGAATAAAGCCTATTTTAAAAGCTTACCTACCCAATTACAGAGGGAAAAGTATAACCACACCAAGGCATCAAACTAGTAAACAATGAAGGAAATTAAAGAAAACCTCAGGGTGGGCATCATTTCATACTGGAAGTCAGACAAGAAGTGTAATGTTATATTACAACTATGAGTTTTATATTTATATAAAAGATTATATTGAGGAGGCAGGAAAGAAAAACTAACTTGGAAATTATTAAAAAAGGCAAATGTTTTGCTGATCAAAATCTTTTATAAAGCATAGGGAGCAGAAGCTGCTAACACTCAGTATAGAAATAAGGCAAGTACTATACCTGTCTACGCATGTAGTATTCATTGTGTCCAAACGCATATATAACATTTCAGTTGCCTGTGCAAGCTGTGAATTTCGGGATAAGGAAAACTATTCTCTACTCTCCTTGAAAATAAGTTGTAATAGAAAAATAAGTAACATTTCCTAGAAGTCTGTATAACAATAATATTGAGCATCTTTTCAAGTGATTGATCTTTGAGGATCAATGATGTACATTTGACCTGAACACATCCATGAAATTAAGACAATAAATATTTAGATCACCTCCAAAATCTCTCCATGCTCCTTTGTAATCCATTCTCTCTTCTTCCCCTCCTCATTTATGCCCCCAAGCAAACACTGGTCTGCTGTCACTAGATTACTTTGCATTTTCTAGGATTTTGTATAAATGGTATCATTAGCATGAATTCGTATTTGTTTGGCATCTTTTACTTAATTATTTTTTAATTCATTCATGTTGTTGCCTGCATCAAAAATTTATTGTTTTCTTATTACTGAGTAGTATTCCATTGTATAAATAAATACAAAATTTGTTTGTCTACTGATGTATTGATGGATATTTAATTGTTTCCATTTTCAGGTTACTACAAATAGTTATGAACTTTAATTCTCCTGGATAAATACTCAAGAGTAGAATGGCTGGATTGTATGGTACATGTAACTTTAAAAGAAATGCTAAACTGTTTTCATGAAGTGACTTAAACCTACAAGCAAAAATATTTAATAGTCTCTTAAAGCAAGGCCAAAGAGAGTATGTTTAAAAACAAAGGAAAGGATACAACTTGGGGTAGAGAGCCAGGCTGAAGTTTGCACAGTTCAATGAGAAGTGTTGTGTACATCACATCAATGTGAGGGGGTGCTGGAAGTTGAAAGAGTTCTGCAAAGATCACCTACAAAGGAAACATGAGTCAGAACAATTCAACAGCTATCTATGCACTTCTACTATGAGAAAGACCTCAATGTTCTAAACGTCAACTCTAACTCTATGGCATCCATAATGAAAAAAAATTAATTTTTCATCTTTAAAAGTATGTTTTTTAAACACAAAGATCTCTAACTAAACACTGTAATGAAGATTCCTTATTTCTATAACTCAAATAGGACTATATGCAAAAATTAATGCTTATTTGATACTCTCCGAAAACTGCAATTAAATTCCAAGTTTGGAAGTATCATTGTTAGTTCAGGGAGGTACAGTTTACTGGGGGCTCAAAGACCCATCAGTTTCATTCCTATAAGATATAAAGCCCTTTTTAGACTCTAAGCATGGGAACAGAAGACAGTCTAGTCATTCTACACTGCTACTTGACATCTTTTTGGTAGTCCAAAACTTCTTTGCCATGCTCTTGCTCTGAAAGCTGTTTCCATTCTTTCTGTAATTACGGATCACCTACCTAGAATCCTAAAGCCTGGTCTGCATTCCTTCCTCTCACTCCCATCCCCTACACTTCTGTACTTCATTCTGATGAATTTCTAAACATTCTGAAGATTTAAAAATATAACTTATGTTTTGCATTTCAATTTTCATGTCAATGAGTCAAGTTCAAAGCCTACGCACAGTCTCAAGTTTTATAAAGACAGAACAGGTGCAGTACTTTCAAGAAAGCACATAGGCTCAGTATGAATAAAAAGTGAATCAAATAATGCATAATAACTGCTCACGTTGAGTATTTTTAACATAAAGGAATAATGCAACTGACAGTTTGACCCATCTGTCAAGTGAAAACACTGTTTTTTTCGCTCTTTTGATTTCTAAGAATAAATAAGGATTCATACCTACCTCTACCTTACGGTACAGGAAATAATATACTGGTCAGGTATATGTTAGTAATAAGAGGCCAGATAAACACAGTTAAAGACAGGTTATCTAGGGAGGTAGGGGTGAGTACAGCTCAGTGGTAGAGCACATGCTTAGTATGTATGAGGTCCTGAGTTCAATCCTCAGTACCTCTGTTAAAAAAAAATATATATATACACACACATATATACGTATATATATATATATATACACACACACACACATACCCACACAGGTATTTGCCTAAAAATACAATATTTTAAAGTATTTAAGCCATTTATACATCTGTTAAGTGGGCAATGTACTGACAGTTAGAAGTAACTTACATTATCCATGGTAACTACTCATGAAGATAATACTAAATAAATGAACTGCAGGCAACTCAAAATCCTACTTGGCTACTGTTCTCAACCTCCTCTTTTCTCTTAGCCGCTAACATGGCTAATAGAGCACCAAAACTGAAAGCGATTTCCTCTTTGCTCTGATAATTTTCAGTACCTGATAAGTACCAAGAACAACAAAATAGACTAGGAGTAGATAATACTTTAAAGTCAACAGAAAGATTTGGAGGCTTAGAAACAAGCTCCATGTGAAATGCTTACCTCAACTATGTGGTAGTTCAAGGGGATCTTGTTCTTCCCAGGATAGCTCACTAGCTGTGCAGCACTAGAAAAAGTGTAATTGAAGTTTAGTGAGTTTAACAGATATACAAAAAATCAAATAAGCAGCTTCAAAAGCAGTGAGTTTAGCTACAAGGAAAGGAAATCTTTTCTGAAATGTTCTAGATTTCAGTTACTTCACTTAACTACAGCACAAATTATTTTGTCTACCACAAGGAAACTCTTTAGTGCATACAAAACTCCTTAAAAGATCAAAAGGAGTGTATGTAATAATACTAGGAAGCATGTTCAGATCTACTAACTTAAAAAGTTTTGTAAGGTAGACCACTCTCCAAATACTACCTACTTTTCCACCTTAAAAATCTAAACCCAAACTTTCCAAGGGTTTAGAAAATATTTAAAATCAACCTTTCCAAAGCTTTATGTCTAACTATTAGAAAACAGAGCAAAACCATTAGTATTCGTTTATTCCCGCAACATTCATACTGAAAATAGCTTGCCATTCAAGTTCATTTGTCCACAGCATATGGCAAATATCCACAGAAGACAGCAGGCATCATACGCATATTGCTATCAAGCACTACCGTCTGACATAGAACCCAGGAAAGTACTATTTGAGGGTGAAGTGCCTCCAGAAAGCAAGTACTTGTTTTAGAGATTGGTCTTAGCAAGACAGGCATCAGGAGGACAGAAAGATTTTCTTACTCTTAACATACACTTGTCTCTTATTAAATCATCAAAGTCACTACTTCTTCACTCTAATAAAAGCACCATGAAAAGACTCTTACCAAGTCTTCCTTTCCTTCCAGTGGGACTTAATGATGCAGTGAAGATTCTCTTCTATTACAAATCTTTCCACTGAATGACTCCCTGGCATTACAGGTCCCTAGAAAGAAAACCAAATGCACCTACAACAGACCTAGACAAAATATTCTTTTTTCATTTATTCAACAAATATTGAGAGCTTATTATGTTCCAGACACTGTATTGGATGCTGGGGACAAAAGTTCCTAAATGTGAAAGCAAATTTCATTGCTGTATTCACTTATATCTACAATAGAATTAGAATGTCAGCTACAGTGTTTCTTTTACTACATCTGACACTGTACTCTCATTGCCCACTTCCATTCTTAAATGAAGCAAATAATTTTTGTATATTATTAGCCTTATACAGTTTATTTTTTTTAAACCATGGAAGTGGATTACTTCCATAATAAACATGGAGGGAAATTTTTATTTCAAACACTATGTAGACAAAAAACTCCTGTATGCGCTGGGAAAGATATCCATACTATGTTGTTTTAAAAAAGGTTAAAGAACATTATCTATATGATATTGTTTACTTAAAAAAATATGCATAGCAAACAGGTTCAAAGAATTTACTGATATTATTATTATTTATTACTGTAGACTCTTAATGGTGATGATTTTTACTTTAATCTTCTTTATAATTTCTAATTAAAAAACTTTTTTTGGAAAGGCCAGAACAAAAGAACTAAATCCTCTTCAAACATATGTTTTGTATATTTATGCTCTTCCTACAAAGGATGACAGGCACATTAAAGAGGCAGTATCAATTAAGTACAAATAGTAGAGGAGAAACAAATTTTGAGGTCCCGTTCTAATGTTTCCCTTGCACAAATAAATACCTAATCACAAAGATTCTATCAGTCTTATTGTAAATTAGACTTTCAATTATATATACCTAATTAGATCATCACATAATGTTGACTAAAAGCTTTTTATTATACATGGAATATGGCAAGTGGGTAACAAGTTATAATTTCGTATATATAACCAATTATCCAACAACTTTTTACTTTGGGGTAGAGTCTACATATACTAAAATTTCACTGGTCATACGTAGTTTTCCAAAGGACAAGAGAGAAGATAGGGAAAGAAAACTCAAATTTGACCTTAGGTGGTAATATTAGTTCTTAGGCCAGTGGTTTTCAACAGGGGGCAATTTTGCCCCTAAGGGGACAGAGACATTTTTGATTGTCACAACTGACATTTAGCCTCTAGATGCCATTGGCATCTATAGAGTTACAGGCCAGGGAAGCTGCTAAGCATCCTACAATTCACAGGACAGCACCTAACACAAAGGATTATCCAGCCCTAAACATTAATTTTGCTGAGGCTGAGAAATTCCACCATATGCTGAGTAGGATGCGCTAAGCAACAGGTATGGGACTTCAGCCAGGTGAGCTTCCATTCAGCACAAGTCCAGTGATCAAGTGCTTGCTGCTTGGCTATTAAAGTTAAGACAGTCATTCAAATGCAAAGGTATAAAATAATTAAGGCATAATTAAAATGTAAGTTTTTATACCAAATGTTAATATCACAATTATACATTTTAATTGCTGAAGTATAATGGCTATCAACAACTTGATCTCATAATAAAGCACATATTTAAGAATTATAAAGTCTGCTTATACTGACCTTTGGGGTTTTTAATTAAAATACTTTATACTATTTAAAAAATATAATTATATAATATAAATAAGACAAACTGTGAGGGTTAGAGAGATGAACAACGTCTAAAACTGGGTATTATTCTTAGAAAAACAGCCTTATTAAGAATAATAGCTAATATTATTGAGCACTCATCATTTCACATACTGTTCTATGCATTTATGTGTATTAATAATTGAATCCTCATTACAGTTTGATGAGATACATACTATTATTATTCTATTAGGAAACTAGGGTAGAGAGGTAAATAGCTTACCCAAAATTACACAGCTAAGATCTGACTAAACCAGGATTAAAACCCAAGCCAATCTGGCTCTCAAACCTATGCTCTAAAATTCTACACTGTGCTCTTAATTCATACAGGCTAAATAACTTCTTGCATGATGAGGTGATACTATTCACTGAGTTAAACCGTTAACTTCACTGCCACTGACCTTCTTAGATAATAAACAACTCAAAATTAAAATGTCTCACAGGCACAATTCAAACAAGATTAAACCACAAGTACAATACAACATAGGCCCTTTGAAAGACACTTTTGTTGGTCACGCATGTACCTCGGGATCATCCGTGTAATCAAACATTCTGAAGATGACCCTTGGCATCGGGTACATGGAATCTTCAGTGTGAGGAGGTGGTGTGAAAGGAGGCAGATTGTGCTGTAGTGCTTCACACAGGATACTGTCAAAGGCAAGATAAGGTCTTAGGATGTGCCGCTCCTGCCAGCGATCCTTTTTCAATTTCTGAATCTGGGCCCACAGGCAATCTAAATACTAAAGACAGATTAATTTTTAATAATTAATAGATTTGGGAGGCTAGACAAAATAACATTTTGACTAGGTAAAACCAAAATCACCACCTTCTAAAATACAGGATACAAAAGTAAGCTAACTTATAATTAAACACAGTGCAACAGAATAGTGCTAAATTTGTTTTTGTTTTAATTACTTTATAAAGTCTGTCTAGGGCTATTCACTCTTACATTTTTCAAATTGGGCATTTAAATAAAAAAAAAAAACCACATCAACTCTACAATATCAGCAACCCCACAGAGTAGGGAATGTTTCAATGACATTCTTTTTTTTTTTTTTAATTGAAGTGTAGTCAGTTACAATGCTTCAATTTCTGGTGTACAGTATAATGTCCTAGTCATGCATATATATACACATACTCATTTTCATATTCTTTTTTAAGGGTTATTCTAAGATATTGAATATAGTTCCCTATACTACACAGAATAAATTTTCTAATCTTATTTTTATATATAGTGGCTAACATTTGTAAATCTCATACTCCCAAATTTATCCCTTCTCACCCCGTTTCCTCCAGTAACCATGACTGTTTACTCCGTCTGCAAGTTTGTTTCTGTTTTGTAGATAAGTTCATTAGCACCCTCTTTTTCCTTCCCTATTTTTTTTTTAAGATTCCACATATGAGTGATATCTTATGGTATTTCAATGACATTCTAACATTTATTAAAAATCCACTGTATGCCTAGAGCTATGAGGAGCCGAACTCCTGACACGTAATGTAGAAACCTAGCTAAGGTGTACAAATGGAACAATGTGCTGGTATCTCAGAGAAGAGAATCTACCGAAGAGCCGATTGTGCTTGTATCACAAGAAACTAAAATCCTTTTACCTCTTCCTGTGGATGTGGTTTCTCAGCAGTCCATACTTGTAGCATGGGCACATGAGTCTTTTGGCGTCTTCTAAAGATAAAAATGAAAATCTTTATTTAAGTTTTTAAACACACGAAAATATGTTCAGTTGCTTTCATTATTAATAAAACGCAAATTAAAGCAGTGAAACAACATTTTAACCTATCAGGTTGGCAGATACCAGAATTTTTGATAATGTTACCAAAATTACCAAAACGTGGGCAGTTTCAAACATCACTGGCAGAGGGCTAATTGATATAGTCTCTTTAGAAGAGATTTGGAAGAGTGTAATCCTTTGGAAAACAATTTGACTAAATTTATCAAAAGTAAAATTGTTAACACACTTCAACCCAGCAATGCCATTTCTAAGAATTCACGTCCCCCACAAACACATTTGCACATGTACACAAAAACACTATGTACAATGATATTCACTGAGACACCGTTTACAAGAGCAAAAGACTTACCAAAGCCTCAATGTCTACCACCAGGAGACTAGTTAAAGAAATTATGGTACATTAAGAGTAGAATACTGTACAGCTACTAAAAAAATGAGGTAGAGCTATAAAAGCAGGTGAAGAACTCTGTGTATACTGGACTATCATTTGGATTAAACTGGGAGAAGAATATATTCAAATGTTAGGGTATTCATACTCATACTGTCATTCTTTTGCAAATATCGATATATTGTTTAAAAACAGTACAACTTTTGAAAAATATAAAACATTAAAAAAATTTATCATTTAAAGGTAGCTTAACATAATGAGAAAGTAGATTTTTATCTTTAGACTTTTACTTTGATTTGTAACTTAGTAGATATTAACAATATCCAAAGAAGTACCTATTAATGGACAGAAAATGAAAGTTATAACAAAATTATTCTGGAAAAACTTAAGGGGACACAAAACCATTACCATGCTGCTGTGCTCTTACTTAAGATAGCTTTCAGTGTTGGCAAAGATGCGGTCCATCTCAGCATCTTTCTTTTCATACAACTCCTTTCCAACCCAGGGCAAAGACGACAGAAATGCATACACATACCAATCCCTCCGCACCTAAAGAATTTTTAAGAAGGTATGTTTAAAATAAGTGCTAGTGAATTTTCATTCATATATTTATCCTTGAATGAAATCCTCTGGACACTATTTCATAGGAGGTAAGGAAGACACCTGGCTCATTCAGAGCATTTTTAGATGTATTAGCTTTAATCTTACTAGACAGAACCATGTGAACTAACATACAGATGTCAAGAGAACCCACAAGTATGCCAGCTGACTTAACTTTTAGATATTAAGAATTTATAACATGATCATCTGCTGTTGATCTTTCATCTTTTACTACTAAAGGGTTACTAGTGAAAAATTCCTCGTAGTATATGGACAAGATTCAGCACAAGGGGTTTTCTTACCTGAGGCACATCTTCTTCCTGAGTTACACTTACAAAATTTTCAAACATAGCAACCATTGATGGGGCAGCAATGACATGACAGTTTACAAGATCAGATAAAAAACGGACCTATTGGGGAAGACAATTTCTATTAAATCTCAATGTCCTTTATAATAATTATAAAATAAGCAATCTTGTAATGGTTGAAACCACAGGTCTGAAAAACTATAGCCCAAGGGCCAAATCTAGCCCACTGCCTGTTTTTCACACAGCCTGCAAACTAAGAATGGGTTTTAGATATTCACGTGCTTGGAAAAAACCCCAAAGAATATTTTGATTCATACAGTTTACATGAAGTTAAATTTCAGTGTCCACAAATCAACTTTTACTGGAACACAGCCACGCTTACCTGTTTACATACTGTCTATGGCCGCTTTTATGCTATAACAGCAGAGCAGAGTAGTTGTGACAGAAATTGTAGGAAGGACAGGAATCTGTGAATTTATGGCTTTGCATTTATACTAGACTAAGAACCTAAACTGTAATATTCTAGCTACTGTAACCAATAATCTTTTCTGTTTGGCTGTAAAAAAAATTTTCACTGGACCATGGAAATTTATGAACAGATATTTATTGGGTGTCTTTTGTGTGCCACTGCTGTCCCCGTCGTATGGGAGCTCATAGTCTAGTGGGACGAGAACAATTTCAACCCAAAGGAATGACTCCTATGCTAAAAGATAAATAAAAAAGTGCTCTAGGAACAGGGGCAAAGGGAGTAGGGGAAACATAAAGAATGTAACAACAGGGCTAGGTCATAAAGAAGAGTAAAGTAGTGCTCAAGTGGAGAACAAGAAGAGGCTTCTAGGCAGAGGGGTTTAACAACAAAGTGTGTCCAGGGACCTGTAAGTAATTTTGATATAGTTGGAGGGTATGGGGGAGGCAAGGACAGAGAAACATTAAACCACGAAGGGTCAGGTTTAATGAAGAATCTGGACTTAGAGCCTGATGGGTGTCCAAACTCTCGATTTTGTACTCAGTAGAAATGAATTTGATCACATACCTCCAAGACATAGATATTTATTTATAATATATATTATATATAAAAAATTTATGTTTATATAGTTTTACAAGCATATATTTATAATACATATTAATATTATATATCAATCCATGTGTTACATATTAGTAGGGCTTAATTCCATTTCCATGTGAGATAAATAAGAATTCTTATATTTCCTTCCTGCATCATCTTGTGCACGAGGCTGTGAAGACAATGGGAAGAAACTGAGGTTTTTCACATGTAATCAACATGAACAGAGCCCAGTTACAGAAAGACCACTCTGGTGTCACTGTAGAAGGTAAAGTGAAAGGCAGAGAATCCGAACACAAAAAGATCAGTGAAGAGGCTGTTAAGACAGGAGGAGGAAGGCACAAACTACACTAGAGGCCCTGGAGACAAAGGAGAAGGGACAGACTGGAGAGAAATTTAGGAGGTACAACTGACAGGGCTTGGGGAGTGCTTACAGTAAGAGGGGGCAAAGGGAAGACAAAAATGAATGCTCAGGTTTCTAGATGGGCTATCCAGTACACAGCAGCCACTGGGTGTGGGGTGGGGTGAGGGCAGAGGAAAGGAGGTATGAATAATTCACTGATTTAGGCAAGACACCTTAAGGTCATCCAGGTAGTATCTGGAACACAGGTCTGGAGCTCAGGAGAAACAGATTATAGATTTGGGGCAGGGGGCAAGAGGGTCATCTAAATAAAGGTAGTTTATCAAGCTATGAGAGAGAATGAGAATGCTTCAGGAGAGCATGTTTGAAGAAAAGTGAAGTGAGGACAGAATGCTGGGAAACAAAACTGTAAGGTGCAAAGGAAGCTGACTCAGTAAAAGGAGACTGAGGAATAGAAGGTAGGAATAGAAGCAGGAGGTCCTGAAAAAACTGGTACTGCAGAAACCAAGAGGTAAGAAACTAGTGTAAAGCATTACATGCTGCAGGGAGGTCAACTAGGATTAAGGGTGAAAAGAAGCCACTGGTAACGGACTTGGTAATGAGCAAGAGCAGCTGTTGTGGTGAGTGGGGAACCGTTTTTCAAGAGAAAAGATAAGTTACTGGATTGTAGCTCACCTCTCCCCTCCATCCCAAAACTAAGTCATAATATACTGGAAAAATTAAAAAAAAAACAAAACCCCAAAGTCCACAAAAACCAAAAAGCAAAAAAAACTTACCAAATATACAGCTTCATTATAATTGTTTGCTTTCAATGATTCTTTAAGCTGACGAATCATGGCTTCTACAAATTCTCCACCAAAGTTGTAATTTCTGGCATTCAGCAGTCCAACTAATGTTGTATAAATTGTCAGCTTCTCAGGTAACAGACGTGCACTGATTTGGGATCCAGTACAAGAAGAAGATCCCAAAACAACATTATGCTAAGTTGCTGAATTTTACATTATGTAAATCTTTTATCGTTTTATTAACTTTATAAAGAACAATATTACATTTAGCTTTGTTTTAGAAACTATTTCAGAAAAGGTATAAATGTTGAGAAGAGTTGCAGACATCACCCTCTCAATTTTTTCATTTTAATTCTAGTTAGTTAATCAAAGAGTTAAGAAAGTAAAACACTCTAGTTGTGAAGTCATCAAACTAAAATAGATATAACTAATGCTAAACCAGTTTTTCTTCCAATGTGCTTAGTGGAATCAAACAGTAGTTCTACAGAATATGATTTCCATGGTAAAATATCTGGGAAATGCTGGGTGAAACAAGTTTCTTTAATACAGAATCACAAAGGGGGAGATAAAACATTCAACATTTCGAAACTTAGCTGAACAAATTCTGTCATGAGATCAGAATTCCACTTTGAATAACACTATTCTAGTTGCTTAGAAAAAATTCAGAACTAAAATCAGTTCCTAGCAGTTAAATCGCTGATTTCTTTCCATCCCAGTTTGCTTACTCCAAGTGTGTTAATTTTCATTAAAGTTATTTCAAATGTAGGGAAGAGGAGGGGGAGGCTATAGCTAGGTGGCAGCATGCACGCCTAGCATGCACGCTTAGCATGCACGAGGTCCTGGGTTCACTCTCCAGGTCATCTGTTAAAAAAATAAATAAATCTAATTACCACCCCCCCCAAAAAAACTAAAAAATAAACTAAAATAAATTGTAAAAAGGCATCCTTCAGGGAAGATGATTACAGTAAGCTTTGGAAAAAGCAAATGTTGATCCCTAATTTAGGCAGCCTTTAGAAATGAGCTCAAAAAGAAAAGCAAGTAAGAACTCATGATCATTCAGATTCTCTTATACTTTTTGTCTTTTCCCAAGGTTCCTGGCAAGGGTGTTAGCGACAATTTAGATTTTTAAAAAATATTTGCATTGTAAGAACTCATGATCATTCAGATTCTCTTATACTTTTTGTCTTTTCCCAAGGTTCCTGGCAAGGGTGTTAGCGACAATTTAGATTTTTAAAAAATATTTGCATTGATAGTAACCATTCCCCTTCTACCTTCCCTTCCTCTCAGTCATGGCTTTCACCAGAGTTTAAACATAAATTTACTCCATTCTAATAAATGTTTATTAGAACAGAAGGCATCTATAGACAACTACAGCAAAATAATTTTTCTTAGTCATTTCTTAGTCTAAGGACATGTCTTCCTGGATATTAACTGGGTTCCTTTAAAAAACTGTATTCCAAATTATTTGTACTTTATGAGACGTTAAAGTGAAATCCACTGATAGTTTCAATTGGTGCATACATTTTAAAATTTCAAAATTGAGCTGTAAGCAATAAAAATAGTATTTTTAAATAATTGAAATGACAACTTAAAAGTCACCTTCATAATGAAGACTCCTTTATCCAGATGTCACAGCTACTTTTTCTCAAGGCATACAGTTTAGAGTAATCAATGTCTACCTGAGCAGCAAGGAAGTCTGTATTGCTAATTCCACTACTGGGAGACTGTTTCATGATTTCATGCGACACTTTTCCCACTTTAATTTTGTCACAAACTAAATGCTGAAACTTGTTCTAGCTAACCTAACTCAGACAAAGATTACGCCTATTATTCCATAGCTTCAAAAGCTTCTTCAGCCTTCCAAGAAGGGCTGTAACTCAAGTGACTGGTTCTCAAACTTGTTTGATAGTACTGATTAAAAATACAAATTAAACTAATATATTTAAATGTATATGCTTAAAAGAAATCACTAAATGTGAAAGTGTCTACTTTCTCACTTAAAAGTAGTCAACTCAAATGATTCTAAGGTTCTAAGAAACAAAGAAAATGCTCAATTTTAGTCCTATTGAACTCTAAGAGTTCACCAAAGGTCATTTCATTGGACAAATTTCCTGATAGAAGGAAAGCAGATGGCATATGGAACATACACACGTCTTTTGAACATTCTCAAAGCATTTAAGAGTAGATAATACATTATTATCTGAATTCATAAATCTTTTGTATACATACACTGTACAAAGAAGCCTTAAGATCTTGCTCTTGTAGTTAGGAAGATCAGCTTCTAAAACACCAGCCAAGCCTTCTAGGTTGCTCTCCAAAGAGCAGGCACTCTGTAGAGGACAGCATATTAAGTATCTGTCAAGTACTCAGCAATCACTGCACTGAAATTTTCTAGGTGATAATAAAAAAGTTAAAGTTTTATATACATAAGGCACTGTGACAGTTTAGTATAAATCAATTCAGATTGCCATTGTTTAGAAATCCATGAAAAAGAGAATGAATGAAATTTAAAAAGCAATCTAAGATAGAATAAGTATTAGGAATGGGAGGACATCATGGGCTCTATCTGACTTCTCTGATTCTCTCACTATATGACTCTGGGCAAATTACCTCACGTATCCAGGACTTGTTTGGTTCTTCATTTTTAAATTAAGTGGACTATTCCCTAAGGTCTCTTTTAAGAATCATAGTCCACGAAAACTACTAAAAACAGTCAATTCTCAATTATCTTCATTTCAGGGGTTTTAATATGCATTTACTTTGGGATATAGATGCATGGCAATACAATCTTTGCCTAAAACTTAGATCATCAAGTTTTTAGATGCAGAAATTAATCAAGTACAGTCAACTACAACCCCATGCCCATCGCATTCTGCGCCTCTTTTCGTGCATACCTTTTCTCCTACTTTGCATATTAAAGATTCCAAATGATCTTCGGTTTCATTTGCATCAGATGTCTTTCTCCTTTTGTGAGGCTGTCCCCCTGTTTCAACAATGTATTAAAGTAAACATTATACAATGAATCTGTTGTCAACAATTTTATTTAACTGTTTTGATGCTATGATCTCTTTTCTACCAGAAGCCCTACTATTTACACATGGCAGAAGCTCTTAACTGATCCTCCACTTCTCAGACTAGGCTAGAGGAACCAACAGTCTCCATACCTAGGGACACTATAATAACTCCAGGAGGCATTATTTACGTTAAATTTTGTGGGAATGGTGCCCCATGGACCTATGCAATGCAGCAGCCCTGTCTGTTTCTGTGGACAGGTAGGAAAGGTGCCCACAACACACTCAATGCCAGCAGTCAGAGGACTCCTGTCACACTCAGGTATGGCTACCCCCATTCTTTAAACCTGAGTTATTTATTTATCCTCAGTTGCTTGCTCCTAAAACCTGCAAGTGCCAGTAGTACTCATTATTCTAATAATGAAAATTATTATGTGAGCTGATGAAATATGGGTACAAAACCAAGTTGAATGCTTTGAAAAGATTTGATTGAGGGGAGCTTTTGTTAAAAAAGAAAGATGTGAAGAGGAAAATAACAAAAGATGGGAAAGGAAGCATAAAACATGAGGATTCCCCACTAGTTTTATGAGTGTCTGAGCTCTTAGCTCTTAATAGTTTTGGTTCCATAGACAATGCAGCACTAGAGTCTAGTTTACCCCAAACAGTGGGAATTACAATCAGCAGACACACTCAAAGAAAAGCCCCACTCACTATATCAAATAATTGGTGGGGGAAAGTATATGTTTTACAGTTCCCTGCTTTAAATGGCTCTTGATTCTGTACTTTATAGATCCTATTATGTTCAAAAACTATCATTCAAAGAATTGTACAAACAAAAACTATCATTCTGAAATCATTACCAATCATCTGTCTTTTTGGCTGCTAAAGAATTCAAGTTGAATGAAGCTGTGCTACAAATCAACTTTAAGCACTGAACTGTGTACTGTTCAGTCTTACTCTTACTATTTTGTTTAAAACCTTAATACAACCACCTTACATCCTTTTGTGTAATAACATAAGGCTGAAAAAAAATCAACTAGTAACATGATTTTGTGGCTACACACAATGTTGGCTAGTCTCCTAACATAAATCAATTTTTGACTTCCACCAATTAGATTTTTAGGACAACATGTGGTCAAAGAAACAATCATCTGTAACTGTGCTGGGGCTCTGTATTAATAATGAACATCTGCAGATATAGAGTTACCCAGGAACAAGTTATATATATTTTCAATCTTCTCCAGACTTGTATACCCAAAGGAACTGAACCATTTTTCATAGTTCATAATCACTTGCCACTGGAACATTTAGCTTGAAAAATACAAAGATTTTCATAAAACACAGCACTTGGCTATTCTAAGCTTGGGGTGTCAAAAGTTTTTCCAATGTCTGAAAGGATCTTCAGGTTCCTACCACCTGAACGTAAGCTGAATAAAACTATTACTATCCAGACAGGATCAGACAAAGTACTACAGAAGACTACAGGCAAAGCACTGTGCACTTTAACTTCCCAACCCCTTAGTCATCATTAAGATCTAGTTTAAATAACCACCAAATATAGTTTTGAAGGGATAATGACATAAAAAATATAACACGCATACAGCATGACAGCTGAGATGTATTCCTGGAGATATCTGTCTGTGTAAAATATGGACATCTGTGGCATAGTGGATCAGTGACCTTGATTCTCAAGTATACATTAAATCTGTTACAAGATTTCTTACAAAGTTTCCACTATCGGAAGAGCCAAATTCAACACAAAGGACTTGAAAAAATTGCACATTTGATGAAATGTTTACATAAGCTGTCAGCCAGCATATTAAAATAGCCTTCTCCAAGAGCAGTGCTTCTCAAAACTGGGTAGGATTCTGCCCCTCAGCAGACACTTGGCAATCTCCGGAGACATTTTCAGTTGTCACCACTGGGAGAGTGTCAATGGCATCCAGTGGGCAGAGACCAGGGATTCTGCTAAACATACTACACTACACAGAACAACTCCCAACAACAAACAATAATCCAGCGCAAGATGGCAGTAGTGTTGATGCTGAAACTCTGTTCTAGGAAGCAGAACATATTAAACGTTCTTCAAAACCAGATTCCAGGAAGGTTGGGAAAATGCAGATGCTAAAAAACTAGAATGAGGACAGCTTTTTGTTTTGTTTTGTTTTAAATCCTTAACCAGTGCCCCCTTTTTTCTGGCACATCTTCTTTGCCAACCATTTATCCCACATCCCACCTCCACAGCCTCCCTAAATTAACTATCCAGCTGGCTTGTTCCCAGATCAGTTTGGAATCATACCCAATCTTAAAAGCAACCCTCACTAGGCCTTCTGTATGCATGGTAAGAAGAAAATAATGCTATGGGGAGAGAAGGTAGGATTTCTGCAGAAAAACTAGAAAATACAAGTTTATAGTCCTATCTTTCAACTGCAACCACCCCACCCCGCCCCCTTCTCTTTTCTCCCCAGTTGACTACATGTCTGGAGAACTGGAAGAGACAGAAAACATTAAGGAGTAATTGATGCCCCATTCTCACTTAACAGTTTAGAGAATATAAAGGGGGGGGGGTGGCTGCAGACACAATGTGAACTCATGCACAGTAACAGGATACTGAACTCAAGAGAAGGTGGGGAAAAACATGGGAAAAGAGAATAAAATACTTTAATTACGAATAAAATTTTGAGAATTAGCTGAATGCTTTCACCTACCCTCAAGAAAACATATCTATGGTAGCTCTCAAAACAAGAACAGATTTTATACTAAAATGTAACTATGTATAAGTCTTTCAATATAAATTAAAGTTATATATTGCCACTTCATTCTAAAACTCTTGACTAGTATAGAAGAGAGAAGTAAATCTCTATTAAAACCCATCTGAAAGCATCTTAATACACCAAATAATTCTTTCCCCTATAAAGTGATCCTAATTCTATACAGACACATTGTACTAAATCTTACATCTTTATATAGAATTAGATGTACAATTAGACCCACAAAGTGGAAACAAAACCCAACTCTGAAAAAGAGAACGTAACAACAAAAAAACAACTACAACAAGGTAAAAGAGGAAAGTACAGTGATTCTGCAGATATAAAGCAGAAGTAACCATCACTTCTGAAATAAGCTATATTCTTGTCAAAGTAACAAATCCCTTCACTTCTATACATTTCATGTTTTCTATAGTTAAGTAAGAAAACAGTCACATTACCTAAAAAAGGTAAGGACCTAATTCTAACTAGCTTAAAAGAGACTATCATGGGGTTTTGACTAAATTATGGACAATCTAAATAATTTCTTAAAAGGACAAAACAATGTTTTGAACAGCTATTGCATGCATATCCAAAATAACTGAAAAGCTTCAGAGACATTCTTAAAAAGACTCTAAGAAATGAGTTAAAGTCAACACTGGACCAGTATCCACACACATTCATTTCCATTTAGGACTCTGCTGTCCTTGTCTATAAACTAACCTCTAGGTGACCTGCATTGGTATAGTCTCCTAACTTGTCTCCATGGATCCTGGATATTCTAGTTTCAACAGAGATACAATTTTAAAATCTCCCTCATGGGCTGATCCTCTGCTTCCTCGCTGATCTTATCTCCTACAACTCTCCCCCTTACTTACTTCACTATAGCAACATTTGCTGTTCTGTGAAGATGGCAGGGATATTATAGCCTTAAAGCCTTTGGTTCCCATTGCTTACACTACTGCTTTCCCCCAAGCAGCCATCTGGTTTACTTCCTCACCTGCAGGTCTTTGATTAGATGCCCTTCTCAGTCAGGCCTTCCCTGACTAACCAATATAAAACAGCAACTTCTCCCCCACAGCAGCCTCGACCCTCTTTGCCCGATTTTTCTCCATATAGCACTTATCACCATATGATAAACTATATTTACTTGATTTTTTTTCTGCCTGTAAAAGGAAGTTTGCAACTTTACATTATCCACTGCTATATTGCCAGTAGTTAGAACTATGCCTGGCATGGTTAAAAATCTTGAATAAATTATTACATCTAGTCAAGCATATGAAAAGTCATGGCAGCCAGCGACTGATAAGAGCTGACAATAATACAGAAATGCTCAGATGCATCTATTTCATTACAACAATAATAATTCATCCTATTTTAAAAGAGTCTTCTATAGTATTTATCACCTTTTAGGCATCAACAGGTGATAAAATACACATCATCATGAGCATTAGTTACACGTGTTACCTCACTTAACCCTTACAAAACAAAGTCACGTATTGTTACTTCTACATTACAGACTAAGGTTTAAATAAGTGATATAACCTGGGCAAGATCACAAAGTAAATGGCAGAGTCTAGCTTTGAACTTAAGCCCTCTGATTCCAAAATTTGACCTCTTAACCACTACACTCTTTTCAAAGAATAAAACACTTAAATATTAATAACAGAATTACTCTAAGTTTTTCTTTTTCCGAATGTGTGTTCTTGACTGATTTTTGTAAATGTAAACATCTTTTCTTACTTTTAACAAAATTATTCTTGGTTTTTATGATGGCAACTCCATGGTCCCCATGAACGCAACCATCCAAATGTAGATGGGAATCCTTGACTGAAATTTTTAAGGGCTCTCCAGTTAGTCTTCGGGCACTCCTTACACAAGCAAAATACGCTTACGGCCAGTTCAATGTATCATAACAACCTATGAACATCTGTTTATTAGAGACCTTTCGGGTGTGGATAAAAAACCAATTTCTTTCCCCGCCGCTTGAAAGAGGGCAAAACAACGGAAGACCGGTGCAGGGGCAGAGCTCAGACTCTGATTCTGACCTCTTAACTTCCGAGAGCCCATTTTAGGTGCAGTCTGAGGGTCAAAACGAGACACTGGGACGAGTGGGTCCCCGTCACTGTCCCTAAGAGGCGGCAGCACAGACACAGGTGTACGTCCCTGCTCGGCGGTGCAAAGGGCCAAATCTTGAAGAGTCCTCAGAGACTCCACCAGGGGTCCACCAGGCCTCCCCTCGGCCGACGACTAAAGGAGGTAGGGCGGGGGAATGCAGGAGCTTCTCAGAGGTCGCCCAGCCACACTCCACTGTGCCACCCGCCTTTCCTCTGCGGCTCCCCGAACGCTCCCGGGCGGAAGCGCTTCCCGTCCCTTCGCTCGAGACCCGAAGACCAAGGGAGCCAAACGTCGGCCTCACCTGGGCGCGGCCTCGCGGGCCGAACCCAGGGCACTCACCATCGTTCTCGTCGCTGTGCCGCCGCCGTGACATGCCGCACGCCGGCGCGCCGCCGAGCAGAGACGCCGGGCGGGAAGCAGAGCAGGAACCGTCGGTCCGCCGGCCGGCGCGAGGAAAGCCGCGAGGCGCGCGGAGCGGCCGGCGCGCAGGCGCACTCGCTCGCGACGGCTCCCGGAAGCGCTAGGGAGAGAGGCGGGCCGGGTGGACTCAGCGGGTTCGGATCCGGGAGAGCCAGTGTCTGGAAGCTTACCAGGCCGCGGGTGTCTGGTCTGCACGCAACTGCCCCCTCGAACTGCCTCAGCCTCTTCGCCGCTTCCTTCGACCGCCTTCGCTGGAAGTCCTTCCGGGCCACGCGGAGAGCACCGCCTCTTTAGTCGGCCAGAGCCGTGCCTGCAGGCCGGCGGTCAGGAAGGGACGCTCTAGTCCCCGCCTCCACTTCAGACCCTCCCTCCGGGCCTCTCGGTGGTTTTCCCGGCGGCCCTTTTGCTAACGGCCTAGACTTCCGGAGCGACGTGAGGTCCTTACGTAAACATCAGGCCGGGGCTGGACGCTCCAGGCCAGTGAGCGGCAACAACTGCTAGGCGGAGACCGTCCTGTGAAGAAAGATCCAAGAAAGGATCGGGGCCGGCGGGTACGTGGTCATCTTTCTCCCACTTTCGGGCCTTTGCCTGCTCGGGAAAGCTGGGCGGAGAGATTGGGTCAGGCCTGGCGCGGGGCCCGGGTGGGAGGCGCCGCCGCTCCAGTAGCTCTGGGAACCGAGACCCTCCCTAGCGTGAGCCTGCTCCTCCGGGGTTACCCTCTGGCCGTCTTTTGACCTCCCGTCCCTCTGAGTTGTTGTTTAGGAAGGGACGGGTGATTGTTCTAATTATGTTTTCAATGGTTTTTGGATACCTTTATACTATGTGAATATCCCCTGGCACTGACATCTCTGATGAACACCACGTCTTATCGAACTGCCTTGTCCATGGTCATCTGAAATTTCACACGTCTGAAATGGAACTCTTGATTTACTCTGCTGTCCTAACTTATTCCTTATTCAGTCATACCTATTTCAGTAAATGGCACCATCCATCCAATTGCTTAATCGAAAAACGTAGGTAGGAGTCATTCTTGGGTCCTTTTCTTTCGCTTCCTACCTAACAATCTATTGGTAAACTGTACACTCTGACTTTCTTCCTGTACCGCTAGTTAAGTCAAGCTCGATCTCGCTTTAGAAATTTATACTATTTCCTTTGCTTAAGATCTCTGCTTCTAAGTCTGCTTGGATGGCTGCTTATCATTTAGGTCTCAGCTCAAACATCAGGCCCTTAGTGAAGACTTCACTGGGCACCCAGTCACTTTTTTATTTAATTCCACAAATACTGTGTTTATTATGTGCCAGGCAGTGTTCTAGATGCTGAGGATGCAGAGGTGAACAAAGGAAAACCCCTGCTTTCTCAGTGCTGGTGACTCATTCAGGAATGGTCAAACAGTGCAGTCAGAGGTAGTGAGCAAATGGAGGAGTGGGAGAAGATGAGATGAAGGAGGTAATGGGAAGGGCTTTGTAATGAACTTGGACCTTATCCTAATATGATGAGAAGCCTTTGGAGGTTGATCTGACTTAATTTATTAATAGTTACCTCTCTGGCTCCTACAGGAGGAGGGCAGTTAGGCATTTGCAATAATTTAGTCAAGAAATAATGGTGGCTTACATGTCCATCCATAATGGATGGATAGACAAATTGTGGTATATCCATACAGTAAAATACTGCTCAGCAATAAAAATGAATAAGCCTGCATCAGCATGGATGAATCTCAGAATAATTATGCTGAGTAAAAGAAGCCAGAGAAAAAAAGTGCACACTGTATTACTCCATTTGTGTAAATGTTTAAAAAATGCAAACATCTAGTAGGGAAGGGGGCGAGGAGAGATTACAGGGGGCACCAGATGCTTTTGGGAGTGATGGATATATTACTGTATTTGTGATGATGGTTTCATGGGTGTGTACATATGTGAAAACATAACAAATTGTACACTTAAAAGAAACTGGTGGCTTGTATAGGGTTGGTAGTAAAGGTGATGCAGTGTGGTCTGTTGTGATTGTATTTCAAAAACAGAGTTGACAGGATTTTTAATAGTCTGAAAGAATAAGGAGAGAAGAATCTCAAAGTTTTCTGTCTGAGTAACAGGAAGAATGGAATCATTGTTTACTGAGGTAAGGAAGACTGAAGAAGAGCAAGTTAGAGTTGGGTTTTAATGGTTGCATTTGAACAGCCTATTAGCCCTCCAGCTGAAGCTCTCCCCGGGAGTTGCTTATGTGAACTTGGAGTTCAGAGGAATGGCCCAGCCTGAAGATATAAATTTGGAGTCATTTAGTGTATAGTGCTCTAAACATAAAAAGTCCTTTATTTATGATTATTTCCCTTTTTTATTTTTTCATGGAAGCTTCAAATATTTACAGAAGTAGAGGAAATTATATAATGAACCCTTCTATGCTATATCAGCCAGCTTGAGCCATTACCAACTAATGGGCTACAATATAATATAGTTTCACGTATATTATCTCCCCTTGCCCAACTATTCTAGTAAATATAGTTTGTAAGTCCTGGGGGCTAGATGAAGATCACCTCAAAGGTGATTGTAGATAGAGCAATTGAACACTTAAAGGCTGGGGTGATAAGGAGGATCCCCAGCAAAAGAAACAGAGAAGCAGCAGCTCTTATCACTGATACTTTCATTTCTTTTATTTGTTTATTTATTTGGTGTCTCTTCTCTTAGAACATAAGCTTCAAGAGAACAAGGAGCTTATGTTTCATTAAGACCTGTATCCACAGCACTATTTTATCTGCCAGGCACATAACAAAGTCTCCATACATAATAGTTAAGAAAATATAAATAAAGTGAGCACTGAAAGAGGATTTAGAGTGAGGGGAGGTCATTTTGGGGGTGGTGTGAAAGGCATGTGTGGAGACCCCAAGCAGGGCTTGTCTGTAGAACTAAGTGAAGTCCACTGTGGCCAGAATAGTATATGTGAGGGAGAGTGTTGTCTTAGGTGAGCCTGGAATGGTAGGGAATTCTGTATGTGCTGAACCATGCCTGTTTCTTTCCATTCCTCACTACAGTCCTTCAAGGTAGAGACTGCCACCACGTTTTACAGATCTAGGAATTAGAACTCAAAGAAATTAAATATCTTGTCTGGGTTCACATACTTGGACTCAGCTGCTCCACAATCCAAAGCTCAGGCTTTCCCCAGTCTTTAATGTTCTCTTCACATTTGTCACTTATAATATTTGCTTTACTAAAGAAAGAATGTAGTATATTGGTTGTACTGTGTCCATTTTGACAAGATTTGGCCACAGTAACAATTTGTATATTTCTGTATATTGTATATTGTATATTTCTTCTGGCTCATTAAAATAGGAGCTCTCTCGGTAGTTATTTCTTATAAGGAAGGGAATTTGCACAGCTCGAAAATTAGGGGACAAAAAAGAGCAAAGTGTTTATAATTGAAGGCACTAACACACAGCTTGGTTAATCTTGATTGTATGTAGTGCTTTTTTCGGTATCATTGCATGGTTTGCCCTCTAATTCAGGTTTCTGCTCAGATTCTTCTGCCTTTACCTACTGACTTTACCTTTGAGTTTTAAAGAGCCCCTCAGTCACTTTGACTCCTTACCTTGCGTATTTGTCTTAATAGCCCTTTTTACCATCTGACTTTTTTTTTTCAAGCAATTTATTCATTTGTTTACCTTCTGTCTCTCCCCACTGGAAAGTAAGTAGAGACTTTTTCCTGTTTCATTCACTTCTGTATCTCCTGTGTTTAGAACAGTGCCTGGCATAGGGTTGGTGCTAAAAAAATATTTCTTGGATGAATGAGTAAATGAATGGATATCCTAGGCTACTGGGTCCATATTCATTTTGCAGGATTGATTAGCTTCCAGTTTACTTAAGTAGTAATCAAAGACTTGGGCATTGTTGTTTTTCCCTTGCTTACTTCCTAGGAGATAGTTCACTGAAAGGAATCTGTCCCACTGCTGCAACCAAACCAGATGCCTTCTTCCACTGCACCAGACCAAGGAGATGACCTGGAGGCCTGTGTTTTAAGATTTTCTGACCTGGATTTGAAAGACTCAAGTCTTATCAATCCCAGTAGCAGTCTCAAAGCAGAATTAGATGTCAGTACAAAGAAGAAATACTCATTTGCAAAGAAAAAGGTAAAATTGCTGTTGACATTTCAGGATCATGTAGGCGCAGTTAACGTAGGTACATCTAGAAGTAGCTCATCACGGTAGTCCTCCAGGGAGTGGAGGGCTCATGAGACACTAGGCTGCTGCCATGTTCAAGGTAAGCTCTAGTCAGGGCCATTAACTAGTGATCTTAGTTCAGTGCCGGCAAAGGGGAATCACAGGCAAGGTGTGGCTCTGGAACACTGGACTACTTGAGGACAGATCCTAGACAGATGAGCTGGATTCCTTTTCCCACCTAGCGTTATGGGAAGAATCCCAGAAACCCAGGAGACCTAGTCATAAGGAGAACAGGCAGGTGTTAGGGCATCTGCTACCTAAGACTCCTGATCTGGTCTAGCTGGCAGGGCTCAGTTGGTTGAGAGAAGGGGCAGAGCAGCCCAGAATGCTGCAAGCTTACTGAGGAGGGTTGGGATTGGGTTTCAGTGGGGTGGTATTGATGCTGCTCTTCTGTGCCTTTTATCCTTTTATTCTGTTTTCAGAGATCATTGACTAGACCCTCCTCCTGCTGAAGCTCAGAGGGAGGAAAATGACTGAGGGAATGCAATTGAGACTTAGTTTTCTTACCTCCAGCCTGTTGTCCCTCTTTTGCAAAGACATCTAATGCTGGCTCCATGTCAATGAAGAATAGATGTCTCTGCTTATGACTTCCTCTCAACTACCCTTCTGCCTTCATCTCATGCAGATTTCCTTGAAAATGAAACCCAAAGGGTACAGAAAGTTTTTTTAAAATGTTATTTTGCAGTAATTTCAAACTTATAGAAAGGTTGCCAGCATTACCCCAAAGAGTTATGGGGGTACAGTACAGAGGACACCCATACTCATTTGGCCAAAAGCTTCATTCATGTTTCATCAGTTGTCTCAAGTGGCTTTTATAGATCCACTCTAAGGTCACATGTTACATTGAGTTGTCATGTCTCATAAGTCTTCAATCTGGACCACTTTCTCTTTTTTTCCCTGAAATCATGACCATGACATTTTTGAAGATTATAGATGAGTTACTGTGTAGAATGTATCTCAGTTTGATTTTCACCTATGTTTCCATATGATTAGATTCAAGTTACGCTTTTGTTAACAAGACTGCCTGCCCCACAAGGGAGGCTGTGTTCATCTGGCCACTTTCTGTCAGAGAGTTCACAGTGCCAATTTATCCTATTACTGGTGATGTTAATTTTGGTTAGTTGATTAAAGAAGTGTCTATCAGATTTCTTTGCTATAAAATTACCTTTTTTTCCCTTTCAATTAATCAGTATTTGGTGTGGGGAAGCTTTGAGACTATGTAAATGTCCTATTCCTCAACCAAGTTTCATCTACTAGTTTTAGATCCATTGATATTACTTTGCTGAATTATTAATGTGATGGTTGCTAAATGGTAATTTTTTTTAAACTTTATTTTTATTTCATTTTTTGGTGGAGGAGGGATTTAGTTTTTTGTTTTTTTTTTTAAATGCAGTTACTGGGGATTGAACCCAGGACTTGTGCATGCTAAGCATGTGCTCTACCACTGAGCTATACCCTCCCCCTAAAATGGTAATTTTCTAATTGCTTCATTGCTCCTAGATTTCTTACTTGGAATTTTTCTGTAAGGAAGAGCTTTCTTTCCTCCCAATTTATTTGTATCAGTGTGTCCTTAAGAATTCCATCTACTCAATGGGTTATAACCTGTTATCATTTATTTTGATGCTGAGATTATCACACATTTGTCTGGGAGCCCCTTCAAGCTAGTATCTCTCTGTGTCTTTGTGACTTGCCCGCATCATTCTTTGAGCATTTCCTTACTTTCTAACTCAGCAGGATATTTCAGGGTCATCTTGTATTTTCCCCATCCCATTGCTGGAGTCAGACATTTCTTCAAGGAGCCCTGGTTCTTTCTTAGTGGAGAATTGTCAAAAACCAAAACCTGGGGGCTAAGTGATCTCATTGCTGCTAAGGTGTTGCTTTTCCCAGGACCTCCAGTGGACAGAGCTAGGAATATATATAGATGAATACACACCTATATGTATCATACATACACTTTTAAATTTACTTTTATATCAATACAGATCAGATGAGTTCATATCAATGTCTTCAGTTCCACTCCAACATCACAAGGTTTATTTTAACTGTCTGCTTTTCATATGTATAACTCCCGTATTTGGTGAAGTTTGGTGGAAAACCTAGCTCCCTTTAGTCTCAGTATATTTACTTATTTGCTTATTATTCCCCTGCATGCAGTCTTCCCACCCTGCCAAGTTGCCTCCCTTACCAGAGCCTGCTTTCCCCAAATAGGCATCACCCACCTTCTTGGCTCTGGCCTGCTTCTCTCTTCTTGAACAGACCCTACATGGACTTCAACTGCTGCTAGGTCCTCAATGCCTTATTGACGATGCCCTAAAAGACCTGTGGCAGGCCACATTCAAACTGAGCCTCCCATCGCCCTCAGGCCTGCCTGATGGCTTTTTGACAAAGGAAGAAAGGTGGAAAGAAGGGAAAAAAATCAGATTTTATATAGTATTTCTTTAAAGACCATGAATTTTTAAGACCTCAATGATAATGAGGCCTTGGATGCATACATTTACATTTATGTATGAAGTAATAACCATAGTGACTATTGCTATACAGTAATTGTCAATTGAAATAACCTGTGTAATACTCAGCCTGTTACTTGTAAAAAGTGTTTTCCTTCTGAGTACCAGCAGTTAGAGGACAAGATTTGAAGTTCTAAGTTTAATACAGAGAAGCACTTAAGTTGGCATACATGCCATCTCTCCCTCTCTCTGTCTCTTTCTTTTTCCCTTTTTTTCCTTTTTCTTTTTTTGGCCTATACAGAAGGATTAACTGCAGGAGAGGCAAAAAAAAAAAAAAAATGTCCTCCAGTGTAATTTCAGGCAACCCCATCCTGCTTCAATCTGAGATAGTCCAGATCCGGTTGTATACAGATTAAGGAAGATCCAAAAGTGACGCTCCATATTTAAAACTTATTCTTCAGAGAGCCCAATTTTGGATGCTTTACAATAGTCTTCAGATGCACTAAGAAAATTGTTTAAAATGTATATATGTATTTATAAAAATACCTTCCTTCCCATTAGACCAGGAGGGAACATACTCTGAGAGGCTGATAATCATAGATCCCATTTAACTTCCATTTATACATCAAAAAACACCATAAACAAAGTTGAAAAACAAATGACAAGCTGGGAAACAAATCTGGATAACTGCTCAACAAAAGGTCACTGAAACCACTTACAAATCAGTAAGAAAATGTAAATGCTACAATAGAATAATAGGCAACAGATGGGAACAAGCAAGTTAAAAAAGAACATAGAATCAATGTGAAAAAATACTCAACCTTACTACTAATCAAAGATATGCAAGTAAAAACAGAATATTTCTTTTGCCATTTAGTTGGGTCAGTATTAAAAATATTGACTATAAAAATTTAAATACTGATACAACTTAATGCTGTGGATAAAATGGAACCCTCATGCATTGTTGGTGAGTGTATGAATTGGTACGATTTTTCAGGTAATCACTACTTATCACAGTTTAAAATTTTATGCTTCTTCACCTCTAAAATTTTCTTCTAAATATTTATTCTAAGTAGAAAGTTAAAGAAATAGAAAGATGTATGCATGAAATGCTCACTCACCATTGCTTATAACTGCAAATATTGGAAAGGAAAAAGCTCATTAGTTGAGAATTGGTTAAAAAAATTATGATGCGTCCATAATTTTCTCTTCTGTTTAATTTTTTTTTTAAAAATAAGCCTAAATCCTTTTTGTAGTAACAGTAAAGTTATCATCCAAAAACGAAATCAAAACATTTTGGTACATTTCTTTCTGGTCTTTTTCAGTGTACTTTTTAATGTAGTTGAGATTACATTGTATAAGCAAATTTTATCCAGTTGTTTTCATTTAACATTATATCAAATATTTTTCCATGTAATTTAAAACTGGCTGCTTAATATATTCCATAGTAAGTATACTCCATAACTTCCTTGACCATTTCTTTTTTGGAAATGACTGATAAAGTTATTTGTAGTGTTTTACTAATATTTGCCTAAAATTCAAATCCTTTTCTTAAGAACAGTCCCTAAAATTTTAAAAATTGAAGTATAAAGCTTATTAATAAAACTCTCACTCTCTCAGGAAGTTCTTCTATAGAATAGTAGGACATAACACTAGAAACTCCCGTGGGAAGATAAGGGATTTCACTGAGACTTTCATTAGCTTTAAACCTAAGGTTATTTAACAGTGACATATTTATAATGTAATTGCAGGCATTTGCCCTTTTTGTCAAAACTAAAGAAGTTCCAGCACCTCCTTTTGAATGTGAAGAGAAATGGTGGAAATGCTGTCAGCAGCTGTTCATGAGCCAGACCAGCATCCATAGACATGTGGCAACACAGCATGCTGATGAGATTTGCCATGAGACTGCTTCTGTTTTGAAGCAGCTGGCTGTAACATTGAGCACCTCAAAGAGTCTTAAGTCTGCAGACAAAAGGAACTCTCTAAAAGAGGACCTTACTCACAACCGTGAAGTGTCTGCTTGGCTTCCTGATACAAGCTGCTTTCGCCCTGATGAGCTGATAAGGTAAGAATTTCATTCAGTACCTTTTGTTCAATTTTTAAAATAGTTTTCTAGTCACAGTCGGATACCAACACCCATCTACTAAAATGGCAAATCCTTAAGGTACAGAATTTCTTACCACCTAAGCTAGGCCGATAAACATGTTCTGTGTGTAATAGAAGACACAGCTAGGCGGTAGCACATACCCACACAGCTGGCAGTGTTCGCTAGGCTTCTTGGAAGCCATCCTACATCTTCTCTTCTCTAGGGAGAGGTAAAGAATAGAAAATTACATTATTTTCTGTTATTATCTTCTACAGAGAAATTGGAAGGCCCAGAAATGTTAATGATTCCTCTACCCTGAATAATGTCAGAACTTAAAAGGGGGTTTTTGTTACAAAATATGGTTTCCTGAGCTGAGTATGCGTTAGAAAGGGTGTTAACTTTTAGACCTGAGGCACAGGATTAGAAATTTAGATCTGCCTTTGAAAAACTCACTAAATCATAGTATTACATAATTCTAGAGGACAGATTTCTGATTTTAAGCAATTCCAGAACTATTTGGTGAATAGAATATGCCCAAATTTGATAAACTTTTGACACTAGTATTAGGCCAAGTTCCCTTGTTGATCAGAAAGAAGAGAAAGTGAGAAAGAGAATTAAACTTGGAGTCAGACTTGAGCTAGTCACTAAAATTCTCTGTACCTATATATCCTCGCCTCTAAAACTGGAATAATAACGTCTGCTCTGCATATCTGACAATATTGCCATTTGAATGATGTAAAATGATGATGGTAAGAGCACTCGTGAACTATGAAGTGCTATACAAATGTGGTCGCTTCGTTTCTGCATGGCCCTGCTTTCTAGTTAGAACAACAAAGAAAAGGATACACGAAACATTTAGCAAATGGTATGAGACAGGCTATGTAATTATCACTTAAAATTGTATGGTTCAGACAATAATTTGTTACAGGAATTTAGAGAAAGGAAAATAGATAGGCTCTAAAACAGACAAGAAGGTTTCAGAGGAGACTAGGCCCTGAAATCTGCAGAAGGCACTGATGGGAGAGTCACAGATTCCAGAGCTGGATGGGACCTTAATTATCATCTATTAGATCATTCTCTAAAATACGTTCTGTACAACACTAGCTCTGGAGGATGCTATCAGTTACTGAAAAAAGGTACTAAAGACAAGTAAGTTTGGGGAGGACTAGGCTAAAGCGTTCTTTATTGCAGGACTGCTCAGGGTGAGCCTTCAATAGATGAAGGGCTTTTACTGCAACTCTCGGAGGGAGGTGTTTTCTTTGGATTTCTCAAACACATGATTTCATAGAACAGCTTCAGAGCACATTTTGAGAAATGCAGTTTATTTCAGTCCTCCGGTTTTACAGATGAGGAAATGAAGGCTCAGGGATGATCGGATACCCACCCAGGTCCCATGACTAGTTAAAGTCAGCAGAGTGCAGTAGAAAGAGTATGGGTTCTAGCGTCAGAAGACTGGTGTTTGAGTCCTGTCACTTTGTAGCTGTCTCACCTGGGATGAATTGGCCCCAGTTTACTCAGCTATAAAATGGGGATAATGATAATCTGTCTGATGGTAAGAGGGTTACATGAAAAAATGGAAGTGAGACTTTTTTGTACAGAGAGAGATTCCAAACAGATACTGCCTTGTCTTACAGGAAAGCCAGAATGGACTCATTTCCAGCTGTCCTGTGGAAAAGGTCATATCCTGTCCCATGGATGTGACAATTAAATGAGGAATCAAGTAAACTCACTTTTTATAAAGGAAGAAGTTCAGTGCAGTTATTGTCTTCTTTAGAGCAAATACAGATGGGAGTTGCTTCTCATTTCAGGAGAAGAATGATAGCTGGGGGCACAGGCAGGCATGAGCTTCTCCATTAAGCCTTCCTTCTGATGTGCCTGGATATCTTTTATGAATTGTGGCCTCCTTATGCCAGAGACTCAGATGCTCTTTCCCTGTGGTTTTCTGTTTTATAGTGGCCAGGGCAGCGATGAAGGGGAGGTGCTGCTTTATTACTGCTACTGTGACCTGGAGGATCCTGACTGGGTCTGTGCCTGGCAGACAGCTCTGTGTCAGCTCCTGCACCTCACAGGCAAGGTGACAGCTTCTCCCACACCCCATCCTTCACTGGGCTCATCTTGTCTCCAACTTGGATTGCAGAGGCTGTGCTTGTTACAAAAAGGATTTGCTGTTGGGTTCTTAGAAATTAGCGAAATCCTGCTAGGCATTGAAGTAGAATACTAAAGTAGCTATTAACATGATATTTTTAAAGAATACTTAATGGCATAGACCAGGGGTCAGCAAACTTTTTCTTAAAGAGCCATACAGTAAAATTTTAGGCTTTGCACAAAAAGTACATGGTGTTGTAACATGAAAACTGCCATAGACAGTATGTAAAAGAATGGGTATGGCCATGTTCCAGTAAAACTGTAAGCAAAAGCAGGCACAATTTGCTGACCCTTTACACGGGGAGATGCTCTTAATATGTTAACTGGAAAGACATTTTACAGAAGTACACATGTAGGTGTGACTTCCAGTTGCTTCTTGATTTTCCTAGAACATGTCAGCATCTTTTACCATTTTGTGGTGTTGACCTTTGCTATTTCCTTTCCTTGAATGCTTTTTCCCTAGATCCTCACATGGCTCATTCCTCACTTCAGATCTCTCCTCAGATGTTACCTCCTCAGAATTCTAATCTGAAGTGTAGTTCTCTCTCCAAACTCGATCACTTTCTCTACCCTCTGCTCAAAGAATTTCAAAGAGTTTACTACTATTGGAGAGTATAATCTTTGTTTAAATTGTTATAGTCTGTCTCCCTTGTAGAATATAAGCTTCGTGGGGACAGGAACTTTGTCTTAATTGATGTATTGTCAGTGCTAGAACGGGGCTTAGTACATAGCAGACAGTAAATGTTTAGAGAATGTTGAATGAAAGAATGAGTGTGGGTTTGTAACAAAACCACAAGTGTCTGTGTAAAAAGATGGAGCATATCAAAATGTTAGTGACTATCAAAATGTTAGTCATGGTTATCTCTACATGATAGTATTGTGGATGGTTTTAATTTTCTTGTTTTTTAAAAAATATCTTTGATGATTTTATATATAGTATATATGTACTTACACTTATATGTATATTATATATTTTACAAATTTGAATCAAAAGGAAGTGAACTAGATTCCCTCTGAGATCCCCTCTGGTCATGATACTACACTGTCTTACGCCTAATCTTTCCCACACATGCCCCAGGTTTTAATTTCCTGAGGCAGTCATTCGATCAGTCAGTGTATTTTTCATACTCATGTTTTCTTATGGATAGTGACTGAAAGCTTCATTTACCTCATCCAGTTCATTACCGAGTTGTGTCATTTCTACCTCTAAATTGTCTCTTGTCTCTGTTCAACTTCTGTCCCCCACTTCAGATCAAGCCTCATCTTCTCTTAACTAGTTTATTTCACTAGCTTCCAGACTACTCTCCCTTCTTCCATCCTTGCCCGCATTTAATCATTCTCCACACAGCAGCCAGAATGATCTTAAAAGGTAAGTGAAACCATCCCCCTCCGTTCTCACAATCTTTCAGTGGCAATCCAGTACATTTAGAGCAAAACCCAAAATGTGCCCTTAGGTTCCTGCATGATCCGGACCCTTCTGCCTTTCCCGCTTATCTGATACCACTCTCTACTCGTTACACTCCAGCAAGACAGTCTTTCAGTTTCTTGGAGCCCACAAAGTTCTCTTTGTGCCTTTGGGCCTTTTTACAAGAAAAGTCTCTTTAAAGAACTCTCCCACACCCACTGTGTTTCTCTTGTTTAATTTTCACTCAATTTTCAGTTCTCAATTTTGATGACACTCCCTCAAAAACATCTTTCCTGACCTTTAAATTTTTTAAAATATACTCTTTCATTGCATCATACAATTATTTTTCATAGCACTTGTCAGTTTGCAACTTTTATCTTAATATTTGTGACCTTCACCAGTCTGTAAGCTTCAAAAGGGCAAAAACTATGTATTTTTTAACCAATATAGCCCCAATTCCTAGCATAATTGCTGGTGCATTGTAAAAAAAAATTAGTAAACATTTTTTCTGGTCTATATACATTTCTTATTGTCTCTGTTTAGAGAACACCTTGAAAAATGGATATTCTCACCTAAGCATACAAAATAGGAAAATCAGTCTCTTGGTTTGGGGCAGATTTTTATTCTTGGCCCAGCCCAAGAGATGAACTAGTAGTGAGGGTCTCTACCCACAAGGTGGCAGCACCTGCCTGGATCTTAGCTCTGAATTTTAAGGCTGCTGCCATACATGCCAAGTTTTCAAGTTTTGTGTTGGTAGATTTGGCAGAATACTGGCACTTAGGGAAAGAGGAGAACTTGAAAATTCTAGAATTGTGGAAAGGAGCTCTGATCCCTTTTCTATACATTGCTTACTGCCTCAAGAAATTTGAGGGGATGCGTTAGAGGGTTTGGAAAGGAAAAATGACAAGATTTAGACCCAATAAGATCTGGTCTGGAATCCCAGATCTACCACCTACCAACTCTGTGCCCTCGGGCAAGTTACTAAGTTGATTTCACTTAGCTTCTGTTTCCTTTTCTGTCAAATGGGAATTATGATACCTACCTTTCAGGATTATAACGTAGAGCTCCTGTCTCATAGTAGGTGCTCGCTAAATCCTAAGTGTCCGTCTTTGTCTCTGAGGTCTAAGGCTTTCCTCACCCAGGAGCTACTTTGAAGGATTTAGCTGAAGCATCCATGAACAGGAATTGAAAGTCTAGTGCATGAGTTTAGAGATTGCTCTGCCCCAGCTATTTAGGGAGTGGGTGTGCTTGTCTTTTGTTTGGGTTCTGAGATTAAAATAACATAGGAAAGAATCTTCTGGACTACCCAAAAGACAGTTATACAGACGTATGTACCTCTTCATCATATTTGCCCCAGTCAGAGACAGTTTTAGGGTAAATTTCCTAACCATTATACTGGGTCAGCTCTATTTTTCTATGTTGTCCCTTAAAAAAAAAATACAAGTCGGTAATAGGTACAGTATCCTGTACAGCAGAGATGGCATGTGCCTCCTGCTTTCCTCTCCTAGCCCAGAACAGGCTTCACTAGACTGCACTCCTCTTTCTCAAGGAGCCTGATGTGATTCAGAATGCTCATCCTGGAGCTCTGGACAGCCACCACTACTGAGTCGGCCCTGGCCTGTGAAATAAATCCCATTTATATCCATGTCCTAAAGAACTGAATCAAGTGAGGCAACAAATGAAGTATCTTCTCTAGGCCCTACTAAAGGGGGAGTCTTTAAAATTTTTCAAATTCTAATGCACTGGTAAGGATCTTTTTGTCTAGAACTTTTCTCTAGAAAGTTCAGCTCTGTCTAAAGGTGATCTATCTTTAAACTTATCTGAAGGATTCTGTAGTACCAGAAGAAGTAGCAGGCCCCCTGGAACACTGCCTCTTAAGGCAGTGGCCTTAACCCAGGCTTTAATGTCCCTAACCAGTGAAGCGTTTCAAGAAGAGTAGAGGGTTTGAGAAGGCAAAAAGCCTCAGATTTGGATACACCTTCATTTGTTCAACAAATAGGTATTAAATGCCTACTATGTTGCAATTACTACTCTCAGCACTGATTATGCAACAGTGAACAAAACAGACACAGACTCCTGGAATTTGTATTCCAGTGCGTGGGTCTGCAGTGGTGGGCTTCCCCCCCGAACACTGCAGAGATGTCCTCACGTGCATTCCCAGCCCTTAGATGCGCTCTGTGCGGTAGGACTTGGATAATAGCGCCTCAGCAGTGTTTCTCATTGTTGGTTCTTTTTTACCTCTGTTTTACCAAGATGAGGAAATTGAGATTCAGAGAAGAGAATTAGTTTTCTCAAGACCACTTGGCAAGTAAGTGGCAAAGCTGAATCTTGATCCTTAATCTGCTGGCCTCGATTTAGGTTAAGCTTTAGCCACTGGACAGCTAGAGCTCCGGAGAAAATGGGCCTTTCTGCTTGTTTTAGTCATTTCACTCTCTTGTTCAGCAGATGTTAACTGAGTACCTTGTCTGAACTGTGGGCAGTGCCATTTTAGAGAACTACAGTATCTTTGTGTGGTAACACTGCTTTTCTTGTTAAACTCATTGACACATATGGGCCTGCTCTGCCCTGGGAAGACTTGAACCAAGCTAAGAACAGACTGCATTCCCTTTCTCTCGTCATCTTGTCTCAGGTTCGGATTGCTACAGAAGGAATCAATGGGACTGTGGGTGGAAGCAAATTGGCCACCAGGCTGTATGTGGAAGTCATGCTTTCTTGCCCGTTGTTTAAGAATTACCTGTGTAAGGACGATTTTAAGGTAAGAAAATTGAAAATAAAATGGATCTAGAGCCATTGCTTCTGCTTCAGTGCCTCTTCCTGTTCTCGGTTATGAAGAGGGTCCATATAGAGAAACAAGTAGGCAGTGCCGGATGGAACACCCTGTCCCCACTAGCTTACCAGGCCATGTGGTGGAAGGAGCAGGCTCGTGTCAGTTCGTCCACCAAGTGGCTATGCAATCTTGGGCCTCAGACTCCCTTTCTACGGGATAAGGACACTACAGTTTACACTCTCTAAACCCTGAAACGTAGCTGTGTTTGCTCACTTGAGAGACACCTGGCTATTTCAGGGGATCACTAGTATTTAGTAAACCTGATGCCATCAGATCAGCACTTCACACCACACGGGGAACAGAGCTGTTGCTCTCACAGTGCAGCTGCTTTGTTGGAGTGACTTTATGCTTGAGCATTAAAGGTGATGGAGGTGGTGGGAAGTACCTTGCTAGTGTTAGTACTGGTGATATGAAAAGAAAGCTCATGGCTCCAGAACAAAAGCTGGGATGTAATCTTATGTGTTGAAATTACTCAGTGGTGTTTCACTTTTAAATCCTTATTGCTATAGAAACACCTTTTCAATGTTAACACTTCTGCACATGGTAGATATGCAACAAATAAGTGCCAGTTATAAGAATTATGTCTTTTGTAATAATAGGGTAGCTGAAATATTAAGAAACCTCAAATAAGGAAAAACTGTTTCAATGGGAAAAGGGAGTTAGATAACTTAATAAATATACCTGGAGATGAGAGAGAAAGATTGTATTCTGTTTTGTTTCTCATTGGCTAGACCAGCAGAGGAGGAGCTTGCTGTTTTCCAGAATTACGTGTTGGTGTATTTGAAGAAATTGTACCCATGGGGATCAGTCCTAATAAGCTCTCCTATAAGAAGCCTGGTATGCTTGCTTTTAGAAGAAACATTTTGTTTTTCTTCATAGGGACGAATCTTAATATATATTGAGACAAGTGTGAAACTGGACACACTGATCTGTAAAAGTTGTGATAAGTCCTCTCTTTAAAATGGCTGTGGGGTGGCTACACGTGGGTCATTCAGTCTTTAAATTGGTTTTTCTCTTTGGTGCTCTGGGGATTGAAGACTCACTGCTCAGAATGACCTGGCTTAGTTATTCTTGGTGATGGTCTGGCAAGAAGTTGTTTTCTCTTTCCAAAGATAGCAATTTGGGGAGAGTATAATTATTGCTTGTAAGTAGTTCATCAACTGAATAACCGGGCTTTTCGCAACAGAAGCAAGTGGCTTTCAACACCAAAGCAGTTTGTTTGCAGGTGCTGTAGAAAGTTCTCTCTCCCCCTCCCTCATGGTTAACATAGATGGTTGTAAGATTTGTTTGACCAGGTGTTTTTGTTTTTGTTTTACTTTTTACAATAAAAATTTTCAAACATTAAAAAAAGTAGAGAAGACAGTAAACTCCCAAGTACCTCTCCAGCCTTCAGCAATTACAGATTCATGGCCAGCTTTCATCTATACTCGTCTCCTTTCCCCATCCTGGATTATTTAGAAGGGAATCCCAGTGTCATGTCATTTCATTCATAACTATTTTAGTAGATATCTCTAAAAGATATTTTGAAAAAGTAAGTAATTATAAAAGCATTATATCTAAAACATTTTAACACAAATTCCTTAATATTATTAAATATTCAGTCAGTGCCTAAAATTGCCAGTTATAATTTTTTAAATTTGTTTCTATCAGGATTCGAGAGGCCCACTCATTGTGATTGATCACTGTCTCTTTAAGTCCCTTTTAACCTAGAGATTCACCTCCATCTTTTATTTCCCTTGCAATTTTTTTTTTGTTTTTTTTTGGGGGGGGTGGATTTGTTTATATTTAATGGAGGTACTGGGAATTGAACCCAGGACCTCATGCTGCTAAGCTTATGCACTACCACTGAGCTATACCCATCCCCTCCTCAATTTGTTTTTTGAAGGAATTGGATCATTTTGCCTGTAGCATTTCCCACAATCAGGGTAATGCTGATTGCATCTCCATAGGATGTTCCTCTGTCCTCTGTATTTCCTATGAATTACAGTTAGATTTATAATAGTGCTAATAGGAATATCACGTGAGCCACAATGGAATTTTACATTTTCTAGTAGCCACATTTTAAAAAGTAAAAGGAAACAAATGAAATTAACTTCAGTAATATGCTTTATTTAATGCAATATAGCCAAAATATTATTTCACCTTATATTCAATGTAAATTATTATTAATGAGATGTTTTACTGGGTTTTTGTTTGTTTGGGGGTTTTATTTGTATTTCAAGTCCTTGAAATCCTGTATCTATGTCACCTTCATTATTAGCATATCTCAAGCCACATTTTAAGTGCCTGGTAGCCACATGTGACTGGTGGTACCCTAGTAGACAGCTCAGATCTAGAGACTTGATCAGGTTCAGGTTTGATTTCCTTTTTTCTTTCTTTCTTTTTTTCCTCAAGACTACTTCATAGGTAGTATTGTCTTCTTTCATCAGGAAGCACAAAGGTCTGGCTGACTCTGTGTCATTTTTTTAATATGAAAATATTTAAAAGGTGGCTAAGAGTTAAACCAGAGGGAAATGAGAGTAAGATACAAGCATCTGGGAAAAGAGACTCATGTGTGAGGAGAGAGGGGCCACAGAGGGCCGTGTTTGCTTAGTGTCCCTACCTTTGCAGGAGGCAGGAGGACCACAGACAGCTCTTCTTGGTGCTACAGGACATTGCTCTGGACATCAGGGGAGGGTGGGCTCCAGGTAGGGCTATGCTGCTTTCATTTGAGCCAAGTTGTTTGAAGGCACCTCATTTAAGCACGTCCATATGAGTCACTGTCTGCTCAGGCCCCCACAGGGCCAGGAGAGCAGCCCCGGTCACAGCAGCAGCAGGCACGTCCCTGCGGCTCCCTGTGAGTAGAAGTCTTAGCAGATGTCCATGCTTCTCACAGTTTTGAACCTCCCTTTCCACCCCACTGTTTTGGTGATCATGGAATTATATGACAGTAACCTATATAGAATCTGACCTCGTTACATTCTCCCTGCAGTCCTAGGTTGGGCAGGTAGGAATCCAGATTCCTTGGCCATGCCCTAGGTCTCTGGCCCCATCTGGCTCCCAGCAGTTTCAGGTGGTTGTCGGGATTCACCCCTGAGTGGAATGAGGCTCCTTTAGTGCTGTCAGGCTCTGTCACAAGTGGTGACTGAAGTAACAGAGCCCCCACCTGAGGTGTGTTCTCTCCACTGCAAAATTCACCAAAGTTCCTCACAATCCCTGGGATGTCTGGACCCCTAAAGATACAGGACTATTTCTATCCTGGAGAGTTGAGAAGGTGTAGGGCCCCCCAGACAGGTTCTTTCCTTTTAGTCTCCTTGTATTTCACTTATCTTCATCTCCTTTCTCTCCTCCTTCTTCTAGCTTTCATCCTCTTCTCTCTCAGCTTCTTTCTCACATTTCATTCCGGCTGTCAACCCCTCCCACCATTCTCTCATTTACTCATGCACACAAACTTAGACACATTCTTCTTACACTTTTCTGTATTTTTAAAAAACTTATTCCAACATTATTCCATAACCTTATGCTCACGCCTGCCTACACCAAGGTTCTTAGCCTTAGGCTTGGGCTTGACCTTGGTATAGACGTTTATAAAGCCTATAGTCAAGCATATGTCTGTCCAGGCTCCTCCGTGTACAGGGGCAACAGAACACTGGCCGTAACGTGGACCAGCAAACCCACATGGCAGTTCATATCCCTGCTGTCTGGCTTTTATTACTGGGTGAGGCCACGTATGAGGATGCAGCATTCTTTGACTAGTTATTTCTAAACTGCCAAGTCTCCACAGTGCTCACCTGAGGAGGAAGGAGAGTGAGGATACATGGAATTACTAAATTCTTTCATTATGATCATCAGATAGTGTTATCGTCAGACATAATTGTAATTATGAAGAGACACGGTTTGGGTGGGGAGAAACAAAGCAACATGAAAGTCATTGGGCTGGGTCAGTTGTGATTGGGGTTTTTTTGTTTTGTTTTGTTTTAACTAATTTTGGTTTGGTTTGGTTTGGTTTTAGGAATTCATTTATCCCCAGGTGAATTTCATAAAGAAGTAGAAGAGTTTTTGTCTCGGGGAAATCAAGAACAAAGTGATACTGTCCTACTGGACTGTAGAAACTTCTATGAAAGCAAAATAGTAAGTACGAACCATCGAGTTCCCACAGGTAGCATGTTTCTGTAGGGAACACTGCCTGTGGCTGAGTCACATGGCTCTCCTCCCACTGCTAGCAGCTTCAGAGAAAACCCAAGCCTCTGAACCCAGAACCTGGCAAGAAAGTCTAATAAATTATGAATTAAAGACACCTTGGTACTTTCTGGCTCTTACATGCCTCCCCTTGACGTGTGTCAGGGATCTTCCTCTGAGGTCTCTGGATAGGTGACCCACAGCCCACAAGCCTTGTTTCTAAGTTTTGGATGTTGAAGTTGAAAGATCAGAGTATGGGATGAAAGCAGCAGTGAGCAAGTGCTTCCTTGCCAAGGCAGGGGAGGGGGGTGGTGTTTGACACAGAAAGAACCTTTGTTCCTACCAGGTATGTGTTTCTGATGATTTTCCTTCTGCTGCTGCTGTATTGTAGGGACGATTCCAGGGCTGCTTAGCCCCGGACATCAGGAAATTCAGTTATTTCCCTAGCTACGTTGACAAAAATCTAGAACTTTTCAAAGAGAAGAGGGTGCTGATGTACTGCACTGGGGGTATCCGTTGTGAGCGGGGTTCAGCCTACCTCAAAGCCAAGGTGAGTCACCACCCTTAGGGCCCTGCATGCGTGGAGGTGAAGAAGGCTCCACCAACAGCGTGTGGAGCTTTCCCACCCCCAGCCAGACAGGGATTTATCTTCCCCTTCTATGGTTCCAGCAGGGAGTTTCTAAGTATAAAACCTGAAGTTCTTAAATCTCAAGATGTGAAGAGCACTTGCCAGTCTTAGAGACTCATCAAGTACAAAAGGGAAAGATTAGTTAACATCTCCCTTTTCCTAATCCTTTTGCTTGATCCTGAGAAGAGCAAATTCAATAATATTACATGTCCTGACAGGTGTCTTCCTATATTTAGCAGGCAGCAAAAATAGTTGGGCTTCCCTGGATCTAGAGAGTGGAGGCCCTACTGCTATCATCATCCATCCTCCTAGTAGGCAAGATCTGGCTGTTGGTTCCTTGCCCCCTTGGTCAGCAATTTTTCAGTGTCCTGCAGTGACAGCCAGGAGCCCCATTTTGGCATTCCTCACAAATGCCGCTCCTCTGTGGAGCTTCTTACTGGTCTCTGCTTGTCTCCTCAAATTTCCTCTTGTGTTTCTGCACTTAGGGAGTGTGCAAAGAAGTGTTCCAGCTCAAGGGTGGCATCCACAAGTACCTGGAAGAGTTTCCTGATGGTTTTTACAGAGGGAAGTTGTTTGTTTTTGATGAGCGTTATGCCTTATCCTACAACAGTGACGTAGTGTCAGGTAAGTCAGCAGAGGCTCAGACCCTGAACTCACGGTCAGGCACACCGTATTCACCTTCTGGAAGGCAGGCCAGTACTGATTACTTGAATAAAGCAAGGGAAGGGAATACATAGTGCTACCATTTCCCAGTGGAGATGGAGATGCAGTGGTGGGGAGACAGAAACCTGAACCAGGAATCAGGAGGCCTGGGTTGGGATCTGGCTTGTCTACTAGTCAGGAAATCCTTTAAAATGAGGATAACCTCTCTGTCTACCTAGTAGGAGCTGAACTAATAGGCTAAATTTGGGATCTTATCCTGGAGTCAGTAGATGGAAGTCAGAGGTTCTGTGAATTTGGAACAGAAAATTTCATACTTTCGTAACCCCTCACTAAATGCAGCACTTCCTTCGATTGTGAATGTAAGCAGCAGATCAGTAGTAGTAGATGTACCTGAGAGTGTGTGGACCACAGAAGCCGAATGTAGGCGTGGGATCATCTATATTTAGGCCTGTTGTTTCCCAGCTCAAAAGGGATGATCTAAAGGAAAAAGACCATTGAATATGGGGTGGTTGACCAGCTTCAGCTAGTTAATGAAAGAGAAATGTTACTACCTGTTTTCTAAATGGGAAAAAGAAAAATGGATCAGTGAGTGCTGCAATCAGGAAGACAATTCCCAGAAGAAAAAAGTGGGGGTAGGGGAACCTTGTCTGTTAGAAGACAGGAGATTCAGACTGTTTAGAAACCTTCCCAGGCCCAACAGGTTACATCAAATGCTGATGAGCTAAGAGTTACATTTAGGAAGTGGAGAAGCGCCTGTCTACACGAGCACGGGTACGTGTGAGCATGTGTGCACTAGTGTGTCTATAATGAGGATTTTCTCTCTTTCCCAGAGTGTTCGTACTGTGGGGCTCCCTGGGACCAGTATAAACTCTGCTCAACCCCCCAGTGCCGCCAGCTTGTCTTGACCTGCCCCGCCTGCCGAGGACAAGGATTCACAGCTTGTTGTGTCACATGTCAAGACAAAGGGAGCAGACAGGCTGCAAGCCCAGCCCAGAGCAGCTTTAAAGAGGAATGCGAGTGTACGGCCCGCCGGCCGCGCGTGCCCAGGGAGCTCTCGCAGCCGGAGCGGCTCCCCGGGGGCCCGGGCCGGGTGTTGGTGGGAAGGGGCCACTCTTAGGTGAGTGTCCCCATCAGCGTTTCCCCAGGCCTTCTCAGAGCTAGGTTTGGGATAGCCACCTACTGGAGAATAGCAGGGCTGCAGGAGCAGAGAAACAGAACTTTAGTGCTGCCAGTGCCACCATGGCCAGCTGGTCTCCATGCTGGCCACCTGTCCTTCAGAGGAGGAGGGAAAGGGGAGTTGGGTGCTGACCTCTTACCTGAGACTCAGAAGATGCTCGAGCACAGAAAAGGGAGCTGTGTGGGATCCCAGAGCTGCTGAGGGAGAGCGCCTTGAGCGTGGTAACCAGGTCGTGCCTTCTCCGTGCCAAGCAGCAGGGCTGGTGGGAGTCTTTTTTCTTTTTTCTAATTAGCAAACCTGTCGGTTCTGATGGCAAAAATGTGAAAGCTGTGACCCTGGAAGTGGACTAACTCCTCAGAACCAGGTGACTTAGGTCAGTCCGTCACCCACCCGTACCCTCCTCTCTTCTCTGCCTGTCTCAGAGCACTAGGCCAGGACCTGCAGACTATGGCATTTGGCACAGCTCCTTTTGTAAATAAAAGTTTTATTGGAAGAGCCACACCCACTCATTTACACAAGACCTATGGCAGGATTAAGTATTCACACAAGAGGCGTTAATGGCCTGCAAGGCCTGCAGTATTACAGGTATACCTCAGAGAGGATGTGGGTCCAATGCCAGACCACAGTGGTGAAGGGGAGTCACAGGAATTTTTCGGTTTCCTAGTGCATACAGAAGTTATGCTTACATTTTACTGTAGCCTATTAAGTGTGCAGTAGCATTACATCTAAAAAAATGTACATAATCTAATTAAAATTTTTTATTGCTAAAAAATGCTACCATCTGACAAAGAAGGGTTGCAACAAACCTTCAATTTGTAAAAACTGCAGTATCTTCAAAGTGCAATAAAACAAGGTATGTCTGTATTCTCTGGCCCTTTACAGAAAAAACTTACTACCTCTGGTCTAGATCAACAGCTCATCTGATGGAGGAGATAGTCTTAAAGATGTGGCCCCGCCTTCATTTTTGTTGATTTGGTTTCTGTGAGCAATTTCCCCATAGTAGCTTCTGCTTCAGCACCCACACTCAGGCTCTTAAGTGTTCTCTTTGAGAGAGTCACATTAGCTTGGTGACACTGACATTTGGATAGTAGCTTTTAGATGAACACCTCAGGATACCAGACATTCTGTGGGAGGTTATTCAGCACTGTCGTGGTCGTTCCCCAGCCTTCTGGCCAAAATGTCAGGCCCAGGTCCCTGTCTCACAAGTCCCAAGAAACACGTGCACAGCCGTTCATAGACCAACAGATTTAATATTATACTGCAGTTTCCAGTGATGCAGAATACAGCTGCAATTGTGTTTCAAGGAGAAGCCGAGTGGGGCTGGCCATCCCTGCAGCACGGAGCCACTCCCGGGCCCGTCTGCAGCCTCAGTAGACACTCCTTCGTGGTGGTGAGGCCCTGGCTCCACCTCTGGTTACCCTGTACTGTCCACATCATTACAGTTCAGTGTACAAGACTTTTCCTTTTTCTTTAAAAGCCTCTCTCTCTGCTCAGTGCTCTGCAGCTTAGTCTGTGATCATCAGCTCTTTGGCCTGTCCTTTATCATAAGATTTGCTGAATCACTCATGAAAATAACTCCCCACGCAACAGAAATACTACTTTAACTGGCACTGTGGTATATTAAAAGGCACAAGGGCATTGTGGCTTAACATTTTTGCTGGATCCTAAGAGATGCAAATGATGTTAAAAAGGGATCCGGCAGAAATGCCAAAATTACATTTTCAGAATAATCATCTTAGGATGTTTTGGCCAGGTTTCCTAATTCTTAAATATCTAGATTTTCTTCACCATTGGCCTTTAGAGGCTTAATTTACAGGCATGAGATTAGCGGTGACTTGTCTAAGAAGCGATGCAACAGGTAGTTGGCGTCTGTAAGCGTAAGCCATGATGTACTATAAAGCTGTCTTTCGTGTTTGCTTCATATAAGGCATCGGCCCACTGTACAATAGAGAAAGGTGTTTTCAAGTATTTGGCCATAGGTTGTCACATCCATCATAAGGTTGGCATTTGATAAAGAAAACATTCTTTCTGACTCCAGTATTAATTGTAAATTAATCCCAGATGTTCATAAAGAACACTCAAGGAAATGTTTGTTGCCTGGAGTTGGTTTAAAAAAAAAAAGGATCAGTTTTTAAAGTTTAAAATCTCACCAGTGGCTTTTTCTGTTATTTCCTCATATCCAGCATAAGGAATCTCATATGTTTTTTGATTCCTGGCAGGGCTCGTGGCTTCAGTCTTTATTTCTTGAGGGAAAAAAATTGCATTCTTGATCCGGTAATCAATTTGGCAACTTTAATCTTGAGGTTCTTAAAATTTAAAGGAGGGTTAATAAAGAATGATGATCTGTTGTGTTTGCTAAAGAGCTAAGATCAAACTTGTAATAAAATATTTTATAAGGCTTTCAAACCACGTGGAAGAGGGTGCTGTTTGTTCATGTGTTACACCTGAAATACCACACAGCAAGGCCGCCGGAACTGGGCTCCTGGGGCTAAGTCACTGCTGCTCTAACATCGTCTTCGGTAAGATCTGCTGGTTTGGGGGCTTCTTAGTTTTTAAATAACAACCAGACTGAACTTCTGTGACTAAAGAAAAACTTCACATTAACCACAGTTTATAAAAATTTCAACTGCAATCACTAGTTAACCTAAAACCTTAGTGCATAAAGAACTGAACCACAACAGTTTTTGTGCCGGCGTTCTGCCTTCCGGTTTCCACTGCAGAGCACAGCTTATCAGTAGAACACGTCCAGTTCAAAGGCGTGGTTGGCATGCGCACACACTAGACGCCACTCCGGCACTTGGGAATGATGGGCCCGGTCAAGTCGGCCAGCCTCCTCTTCCTCACTGGAAAGGAATGGAGATGACTCGTGAGCCGGCTCTCCCTGTGCACCAGGAGCCACCAGTGTGACTCTGAGCACTGGGAAGCTTCTCCCCAACTTTGTTAGCGAAGTCTGAAATCTTGTTTTTAAAGGACAGTTTGCGATCATTCACTGAGGAGGGTCTGTAGTGGTGTGGATTTGTTCATAAATCATGTCTAAACCGCTGGCCACACAGGTATAATAAGACCCACTTTATCCAACTCCGCTGTTTTCCTTTGTGTAGAGAGGCCCTGGAGTTGAAGATCCTTATTCTGGTTCATATAAGAGTTAAGTTCAGCCGATTTAATGAGACTAAGGTCTTAACCTGTTAGGAACATTTCCCGCAGCTCTTTCTCAGAGCTCCTGGCCTGCCTGTGTAAACAACAGAGTCCCCCCTGAAGATGACCCTGCATTATCTGCGTCCCCTTATGGTTAACCTATGGTTTCCCCAGGGGCAAGACAATTTAAGTTCAAACACTGTTCATATAACAAAGTTGAATGTCGTAAAGAGGAAAGCATTAGGCAGAGGGTTGCAGGCTGGGGTCATTAGCTTACAGGATGGCTGGGGATGGTTGGCGGGAAGCATTGGGCAGGGGTAGGGGTGGGGGTGTCCCCTTTGTTGTAATAAGGGAGAGGGTTGAAAACAAAATAGTGTCTGAAGATGAAAACCAGGCAGCAAGCTAGATCAGCCACAGAGAAAGTTCATTCAGACAGCCTGTAGGTGGCAGTCAAGGGGGCTGCTGGTGTGGCTGAGACAGGAAGCTACTGTGAGAGGAAGAAAGTCTGTCTATACTTAGATGCCTTCCAGTTCTCGAGATGAGCAGGTAGACCTCAGATTCATGCTTATGAGCTACAACAAGAACCGAATGGACTTGTCTGTGACACTGAGCATACACAGCAGAACCGCCAGGAAGGTGCATTACTCCGGTTGTGGCGAAGAGCTGGCGGGGAGGGACGCAGGGTACATGGGCAGCCCAGTCTGGGGCTTAGAGTTCAGCCTTTGCCTGAGCACCTCCCCTTCCCCTCCACCCACCTCAAAAGAATAATTAATGCAAACCAGTGGGCAGTCTCCTGGAAAGAAGATTCCTGGAGACCATTAGAATGTCCAACAGCTTGAGAGAAGATGTGGGGGAACAAAACCCAAAGCCCAGAGAGCAGAAGAGGTTTGCCTGAAGCAACCAGAGGGTTTACATGAGCCAGGCTTCAAAGCATCTCCACATTAGCTGTGCAGCATTAATAAACTCCATTTACACCCAACCCCTCACTGGAGCCGCTCCAGCAGTTCTGGACTCAGTGTTGCTGTTTCCATGTTGTGGATGAGGAAAGTATGGCAGGGAGGGTCCATTTCTTGCTCAAAGCAATACAGCTGGTACCAGATGGAACCAAGGCTTGTGACTCATCTTGAGCCTCGGTCCAGCGCCTGCCTCAGTACAATCCACCCCTGCCTATGTAGGCCTCCCATATCCACATCGCATCTGGTTCTTACAAGATTAGCTCCTTTTCCCTGGAGAAGAGAAGGGAGCCAGGGTCCCTGAGAGCGAGCGGCAGAGGCAGGACTGGAACCCGAGACCCCAGCATGTGGCTCGAGGTACAGAAAGGGATCCCGTGGTTTTCTCCCCTACATGCCCTCATTATGTACGTGGGGCTGCATCTGTCCAGGGTCTCCCCCGTGCCACTGGCTTTTACAGAGACTGCATGGGGAGAAGGGAAAGTCATCCACTTAACTCAGGCACTAATTTTCCCCATTTTAATAATGAAGGAAATTGAGGCTGAGAGAGGGAAGTAACTTGTCTTAAGTCACAGTGAATAAAGAAATGGGAGCAGAACCCAGGTCTCCCAATATCCTCCTCCAAGTCCAACCTGCTTTTTACTTTCAAACTCGGCCGTGTTGCTTACTGCAACTACCACAGACTGGTTTCTTGTCAGAGCCGGAAGGAATCTTGCGTCACCTGGACCAACCTCCATCCTCCTTGAGCAACCTCCACCACTTCCCGCCAAGCTTTACACCTCCATTCTGTCTCTGGGGAGCATTTTATATTCCTTTATATTCAACAGCATTTACTGAGTGCTACGATGTGCCAAGGATCAGAAATAAACAACACAGCTTAACAGGAGACCAAGATACACCTACATGAAGTTTGATAAAATATCCCAAGTACCCTGGTCAATCTCTATCAAGCATGAGAGGCACACTGACCGGTCAGATCTTCTGGGGATGGCAGGTGACGTGTTGGCTGAATCTTAAATGATAAAGGGATGGATGGTGGGAAAGTACTGAGAACATCAGGAGGCCCCTGAAGGGAGGGTTTTGCCTGTGTCACTAGGAAGCACTCAAGCTACCTGGACCAGTTGGTACTAATATGGCAAGAAGATGGCTTGTCGGGGTGTCAAGAGATGAGTTTGACAGGGCCTTGCCCAGAGAGGAGGAGGACAGCACAGTTTCCGGGACCAGGCTGCTGGTTCCAGTCCCACTCTGCCCACTGACAGTGGGTAACCTTACCTACTTCTCAAGGCCTCTGTTTCCTTCCTGTAGAATGAGGATAATAAAGGCACCTGCCTCACCCAGTCGCTGGGAACATCACAGGAGTACAGCTGAAGTGTTTAGCGCAGTGCCTGGCACACAGGAAGCACCGTGCAAGTATCCGCTATGATTACTAAGGAACTGATAAGCCATGTCAAGGAGTCTCACCTGACAGCAGTGGGAACACAGAAAGGGTTCTAAGCAGAGTGGTGAGGCAAGCTTTGGGTTGAGCGCTGTGAGAGATGCCCGCCCTGGAGGAGCTGGAGGACACTGGGTGTTGCAGGACACCAGGTGAACGGGCTGAGGGCTGGGCAAGAGGCAGGGCAAGGCAGATGGTGAGGAGGTGGCTGGCTGGGCTGGGGGCAGCGCATAGACAGAGGTGAAGATTTGAAGGTCGGCCTGAATGACCATGAGGAAAGTAGTGCCCTTTCCCAAGACGGTGTTCAGGGGAGATGATGACACTGATGTAGGGCGTGTGTGCTGTGTCTGGGGTGCCTGTTAGAAAGCTCTACTCTGAGAACGTAGTGAAAGAGTGGCTTTCCCAGGATGGGATGTCTTCTGCTTTTAAACAGGTTCCTGCCTCCTCTCCCCACCCCAACACAGAGCACTGTCTCAACCTGGAGGCAGCCATTCAGATTTCATTAAGTGGAGGGAGCTTCGGTGGCAGGTTTACAGGACCCGAGCACCAGCCTGGCTCTCAGCTATAAACAGTGTGGAAACAGGAGCCATCTGAGGTATCACTGTGGGAAAACAGAGGTGGGGATCCTCGTCTCCTCCCTGACACCCCCTCACCCCCACAGAACTCTGTTAAGAGCCCAGTGCACAGGGTGGAAAGGACCAAAGACGCACCTGTCAGGATGGCCCTGGGCAGGCCGTCTGTCTGCAGAGGCACTAGCTGACCCCCAGCCTTGAAAACTAAATGTCTCCCAAGGAGGAGCCCACCTGCCTCGCAGGCAGGCAAAGCCCAGGCACCAGCACAGAGGCGGGCTGGAGTGAGGAGGAAACCAGGGAAGCCTGTTCTGCTCCGCACAGAGCTTGCTCCCTGCTGCTGGGCTGCAGCAGCGGTCACTGGAACAACCCTGGAGGCTGGGCAGGGGCTGGCAGGCAGCTTTTGTGACAAACATACTCAGCTGGGAAACATGGAAACCTGCCTGCTTTATCAGAGCATCAGGGGCAGAATGAAAATATGGTGCTGGGGTAAAAAGTCAGGATTTCTCTTTTGCAGGAGGACGCTGAAGCGCTATCAGAATCAGAAGCGTTTCTGTCACAAAAATTAGCAGGTGGGCACAAATTTGCTTTTAAAGCTAGAAATCCTACTTCAACTAGTACTCTGGATGTTGTATGCAGTCACTTAGATGGTTCTGCTCTAATTTCTTCTGTGGGAAACCCCAAGAGAACAGCTGCACCGTTCCCTGGGGGTAACCCAGAGGCCCATTTTTATCACCTGTCATTCTTGTCCAGGAAACTGCCATGGTCCCACTTCCCACCTGCTTTCATCACCAAACTCCTTGGCATTTAAAAAGCCTCTGGCTCACAGCCTCCCACACCTACCCAGCCCCACTCCCGTGGGCGCCCACATGCCTGCCCATCATCCTGCCTTTACCCACGCTGTCCCTGCTGCTGGAATGCCCTCCCTCCCTTCTCTGTGAGCTCCTGTTTTTCCTCCCAGCTCTAACTCCGTGTAATAGTTCCTCAGTCCTTCTGGATCTTTGTCTCTTCTATCCCGCATACTAGATCCTACCACCTTGCCTTTGCCCATGCCAGCACCCCCGCCAGGAATGCCCTCTGACCTTCTGCACAACCTATCTCTTCCTTTCAAGGCTGATTCAGGGCCCACCCACACCAGGATGCTTGGCTTAACCGGTCTCCGTCCTCACAGATCATTTCCTCCCTTTGATACAGTTTGTAGGCATTCTTGAATTTGAGGGCACATCTTTGAGTCTTTTCTCCCCTAAAAGGCTGTAAGTTTCTTGAGTCAGGGAGCTAGCTTTCTGCTACCCTTACGTCACTTCGCACAGTCCGGGGTGCACAAAAGATGCTCCCAAAGTGCTCAATGTAACTAACAATGGGTGTGACTTGACTGAGCCACCGTCTGGAAAGGCAGTCCCTCCCAGGCCTCAGCTCCTCCATAACAGAACGGGAGTGAGAAGCCCGGTGCCCCGTCCGGCTCTGGCACGCCGGGCTCCTGCTTAACCTTAGCAAGTCCCTGGTGATAAGAAGTGGGCTGGATTTTGGAATCACAGACTCTCAGGACAGAGAGTCCTCAAGGACCATTTCATGTAGCCTCCAGCTGGTCCTGGTGTCCCCTACAACACCCCTGATCTCTAGTCATCTGGAAACTTCTGTCCCTAGAAAGAAGTCCTCCAAACCATCTTGCCACTGGGAGACCAAAGCTGGATTAGCCCTGAGGGACTCAAAAGAAACTTAATCTAAGCTAGGAGAAGAAACAAAAAAAGTGAGGTTACTGGGTATCAGAATAGAACTCCAGGCTTTTAAGTGCTGGTTCTGCAGCCAGATCACAGCAGGGCTGAGAGTCTAGATTGTGGGGCTCACTCAGCAATTCAGTGTGGCTATCACCTCTGTTACACAGAAATAATTCTTATTTGTTTGTGTTTACTCTCGTTTTATTTCAAATAAGGACACTTCAGATAAACCAGGACACCTGGTGTGGCTTGTTGTTGTCGTTTGCTTGATGGATGGACTTTTTGGACCAGCAGCTCTAGAAAAAAGTGGCACTTGGAGGAAGCAGTGAGTGAGCAGCCTCTGGGCTATGATTCCTTAAGAGCAGGAACCTATACTTGCAACCCAGGGCCCTCCAGGACTTTGACAGATGTCTGTTGAACTGAGTAACTCAATCTAAAGCGTGTGTGTGCACGTGTAGCTCTGCAGTTAACCACACAGAGGTTCTGAGAGTAAATGCCTTGTGCACACACACCAACACACCCATCCCTGTTCTTCTAGGCTTTCCTAGAAGAATGAGGATTCACCTGGCCACAGATTCATCACCAGGAAGTGACATACTTGAACCCTGAGATGTGCTTTAGTATTAAGCTCCTTGCATTTTACTGAGTGTTACAAACAAACAAAAAACACATTTAGAGCAGGTTTGAATTTGATGAAAAACTCACTGAAGACACTGTCCTTTGGAAACATAGTTATTTCATAATTCAACCCCAGAAAGAAGCTTTCTTCTTTAAAAAAAAAACCATTATGCTTCCTTCTCTTCTAAGAATAACGTAAACTGCTTTGTCTTCCACCCGCCTCGATTCTAGGATACTCACAGCTGAATGTAATGATCAATTAGGTTAACAGACCTACTCCTGTTTTTGTTTTTTCTCTTATTTTCCTACAACTTTATCAGACATACACCTCTTCGGACACACGTTATTTTGGCAGCCAGCAGGGATACATACAACAAACTACCCGTGGAGCCTGGCAACCGTCGCATCTGGAAATGAGTCAGTGACTGGTCTCCCTCTTTGTTCAGCTGACTTGTATTTCTACTCAGTGTTTGCTCACAAGAAAGATTATGACATTTTCTTTCGTTTTTTAAAGAAAAAATACAAACTATGCCTTTAACTGATATTAAATCAGTTGTAACCTGTGTTCCTTTACTATGAAGTCAACATTTCCAACCTCCTTTTTAAAAGCAACCTGAAGTCTCCCAGGCTTGGGGTGTGGATGGGAGGACTGGTTGGTGGATTTGGGGTCTGGGTCTAGAGCCAGGCTATATGATCTGGAGAGGACTCCGGGCTCCCAAAAGAGGGTTCAGAAGAGGAACAGACTCAAGGCTGGCTTTGTGCCCCCCATGTTTCATTTCGCTCAGCTAACACGCTGAGGGTGCGCTCTGGGGCCAGCCCTGGGCTGGAGGAGGGCCCGGCCTCAGCGCCTGCAGGCAGGGCGCCCACGTCTAGGGAGGGGTCTGGGGAGGAGGCAAGGGGCAAACACCAAAAACAAGGATGAAAGCGAAGTGAGAACCGGGAGTCAGGCCCAACAAGAGGACTCCCTCTGGGAAGGCGGCAGTGGAATCTCCCCTGCCATACCTTCCAAGAAGATAGAACGGCCGGCAGGTGGGCAGGGGGCACATCTACTCACCAAGGTCGTTGTTGTTCATCATTGCGTTGGACGCCCGCAGCCGGGGCCCCTGCTGGGTGAAGTGGTAGCCGAATTTGAGAAGCGTTGCGTTTTTTTCCAACATGCTCACGATCTCCATTTCCACTTTGTTGCCCAGGGGCTGGCTCTTTGATCAAGAAAAGAACAACGGTCACCTCTCCTTCGTTCGTGCAGCACCTAAACCTCCTCTACAGGCAGAAACACCCAGTGGTGGGCGGGGATTTTAACACCTCCCCGCCCCGCCCACTCAGAGCGCAGGGAATTGGAAGTTTGGAGAAGGTGAAGGGTCACACAGCCAGGAGCAGCGAACGAGCTGGGATTCAAACCCAGGGCCGCTGGACTCCAAGGACAGATCTTCCCACTGTCCCACAGCCGCCTTCCTAGAATGCTTGAGCAGGAAGGACTTTCACATCATCTGGTCTCAAGGAGATTTAAAAATCCTTCCACCCAGTCTAACCCCCATGCTAATTAAATCAGAATTGCTGGTTGCTGTCCTCAGGTGTCTGTGGTTTTGAAAACTCCCCAGGTGATTCCAATACACAGCCAGGTTTGCTCACCAGTCATTCTGACTCATTTCTATAAATGAAGAAACGGAGGCCCAGAGAGGAAAGAGGATGTGCCCAAGGTCACACAGTAACTAGGGACTGCCAGAGTTAGCCTCCTAAAGCCTCACTCTGATCATGTTAGTGCCCTGTGGCCAGTTCTACAGTGATCATCTGACAGAGGTGGAAAGAAAGGAAAGGAAGACGTGAGCATACACCATGTTGGGAAGGATATGATGAGGACATTCATCAGTCTCGTTTATAATCGAGGGAATAAAAGGGAAACAAACATTCAGCAAGAGGGAGTTGCTCAAATAAATGATGGTTCAGCTTTACAGTAGAACACAAGCAGCTGTACAATGATGATGCGAATCTTTGGTCCCAGGCCTGGAAAGATGGCCATGAAACCATATTGAGTAGACAAAGCCTAGCGACAAAAGGGGCCATATTTATGTAAAGTTACCTACACTTTCCATACACATACACATACACATGCACTGGAAAGGCCTGGGAGCACACTGGTGGTGGTGGGATTTTGTTTTCATCTTTATATCTTATTGTATTGAGTTTCCTGTTACCATGTCTAATAAGATAAACAAATAAACATAATCTTAAAGAGGTTTGAAAAGACATAGAAGGCAGGCTAACATCATACTTAATGATTAAAGAACTTCTCCCCACCCAGAGCAGGAACAAGACAAGGGTGTTCACTTTCACCAACATTGCCGTGGAGGTCGTAGCCAGGACGATTAAACGAAGAAGAGAAATAAAAGGCATCCATATTGGAAAGGAAGAAGAAAAACTATTTCTACTTGCAGATGACACAATGCTGTATCTCAAAAATCCTAAGGAGTCCACGGAAAACTATTAGAGCTAATAAACGAGTTCAGCGAGGTCGCAGAGTACAAGATCAATATCCAAAACCCAGCTGTGTTTCTATGCGCTAGCAATGAGCAGCCCAAAAATGAAATTAAGACAATTCCATTTACAATAACATAAAAATACTTAGGAATAAATTTAATAAAAGAATTAAAGACTTACACTCTGAAAACTATAAAATAGCATTGTACATTAAAGAAGATTTGAATAAATGTAAAAACATCCCATGTTTTTGGATCAGAAGTCTTAATATTGCTCAGATGGCAATACTCCCAAATGGATCTAAAGAAGCAGCAAACGGAAACACACAACCACCTCCAATGACTCCCCACTGCCAATAACTGCTGCCATCTATTGAGAGCTTACTGTGTTCCCAATGCCCTGTGCCCAACTTGTAGGGTTTCAGTTCATTCAATAACCCAACAGGATTATTGGATTAAGCCCCGCCTCCTCCTCAGCCCCACACTCAGTGCCCTGCACAGTTAAGTCCCCGCTCGCCTTTCCTCTCTCAGTCCTTACTCAGCCTGTTTACCCAAGGGATGGGGATCTGGTACCTGGTACCTGCTGCCTGCAGAGGTTTGCTTCTAAAAGTTCACGTGCCCCCCGCCTCCACGTGGAACATGCCCCTACCCTCCTGTGCCTACCTGTTGATGTGTCCTTAGTGCTTTAATACCCATCGCAAATGCCCCCTCCTCCACAAGGCCTTTCCTGATTCTTACCCCTGAAGACCATCTTTCCCCACTCAGCGCTCAAGTGATACATTGTGTGTCCCCCTCTCCTCCTGACCCAGTCCATCTGCGTTATTTGGGTCACCTGCCTCCATATCTGTCTGTCCAACAAGACCTGTGTTGGTTAGTACAGCAGCCACTAGCCACATGTGGCTCTTTAAAGTTTTTTAATTGATGTAACATTATATTAGTTTTAGGTGTACAATATAACTATCTGATATTTATATACATTGTGAAATGATCACCACAATAGGCCTAGTTAACATCAGTCCCTACACATAGTTACAAAAAAAAGTGGGTTTTTTCTTATGATGAGGACTTTTAAGATGTTCTCTCCTAGCAACTTACAAATATGCAATACAGTATTATTACCTATAGTCATCATGCTGTGCATTATACTCCCATGCCTTATTTATTACTGGAAGTTTGCACCCTTTGACCTTCTTCACCCATTTCACCCACCCCTTCCCCCCCCCCACCTCTGGCAATCACCAATCTGTTCTCTGTGAGATTGGTTAGTTTTTTTCTTTTGTCTTAGATTCCACACATAAGTGAGATCATATGATATCTGTCTTTCTCTGACTTATTTCACTTCACATAATGCCCTCTAGGCCCATCCATGTTGTCACAAATGGCAAGATTTCATTGTTTTTTAATGACAAATAGATTCCATTTTATATACCACATTTGCTTTATCCATTCATCCATCAATGAATACTTAGGTTGTTTCCATTTCTTGGCTATTGTAAATAATGCTGCAATGAAATGGGGATACATATATATTTTTTGAATTAGTGTTTTCATTTTCTTCGGATAAATATCCAGAAGTGAAATTGCTGGATCACATGGTAGTTCTATTTTTAATTTTTTTGAGGAACAGCCATACTGTTTTCCATAATGGGTTCATCCATTTATATTCCCACCAATGGCGCACACAGGGTTCCCAATTCACCACATCCTCACCAATGCTTGTTATTTCTTGTCTTTTTAATAACAGCCATTTTAACAGGTGTGAGGGGATATCTTATTGTGGTTTGATTTGCATTACCCTGATGATTGGTGATACTGAGCAACTTTTTATGTACCTGTTGGCCAGCTGTGTCTTCTTTGGAAAAATGTCTATTCAGTTCTTCTGCTCAATTTTTAATCAGATTTTTTAAAACTTTAACCTTAAAAAATCCTTAAATTTAAAAAATGAAATTAAATAAAATTTACATGGAATCTAAAAAGTAATACAAATGAATGTATACAGCAAAACAGAAACAGACTCACAGATATGGAAAACAAACTAGTGGTTACCAGTGGGGAGAGGGAAGGGGGAGGGGCAAGACAGGGGTAGGGAATTAAGAGGTACAAACTACTATGTATAAAATAGATAAGCAGCAAGGCTATATTGTATAGCACAGGGAACTATAGCCATAGTCTCATAATAACTTTTAAAGGAGTATAGTCTATAAAAATACAGAATAACTACGCTATACACCTGACACTAATATAATATTGTAAATCAGCTATACTTCAATTAAAAAAACTGAAACATTAAGTAAAATGTAAAATTCAGTTCCTCAGTTCATTAGCCACATTTCAAGTGTACAATAGCCACTGGCTAGTAGCTACCATATTGGTCAGTGCAGATACAAAACATTCCAGTCATCACAGAAAGTTCTGTGATGACAGGATGGTGCTACCCTAGATCATGAGTCCTTGGAGAGAACACAGAACCCTGTATCTCTAGGTCAAGGTCAAGGAATTGAATTGAATGGAAGAAATAGGAACATGATCAGTGCAAAACAACACAGGGAGATGGACAAAAATACAGCAGCCTAACAGCCAAAAGGATGCTTATGGAACTGCATGCTTGTTGAGACGCTATTGAGACTCCAGACAGAGAACTCCTCCCAGGTATTATGAGTTCACCAGAGCTTGTCTAGGTTCAGATGGGGCTCAGACTGCTGGCTAAGGCAGGCGGAGAAACGATAGTGAGATTCCACCAGCCCATCTGGCAAGGCTCCTGAAAGTGCTGGAAAGAGCTCAGGTCTGTCCTCAGAGGCCCCAGCACAGCCCTGGGCTCGGGCCGACTTGGCCTGGCAGACGACAGACCATCTGAGACCCCAGTAAGGAAATGGCAGGTCCCCCGTCCACCCCATTTAGCAGGAAGCCTGGCCTCTCCTTGACACCACTTGCTGGGAAAGCTCTACTAGAACTCATGCAACTTAATAACAACAACAACAAAAAAACCCAAACAATCCAATCCAAAAATGAGCAGAAACCTAAAAAAGCAATTCTCCAATGAAGAGATACAAATGGCCAATAGGCATATGAAAAAAAATGCTCAATATTGCTAATTATCAGAGAATTGCAAATCAAAACTACAATGAGGTATCATCTCATACCAGTCAGAATGGCCATCACTCAAAAGTCCACAAATGATAAATGCTGGAGAGGGTGTGGAGAAAAGGGAACCCTACTACACTGCTGGTGGGAATGCAGTTTGGTGCAGCCATTATGGAAAACAGAATGGAGATTCCTCAAAAAACTAAAAATAGACCTACCATATGAGATCCAGCAATCCCATTCCAGGGCATATATCCAGAGGAAGCTCTAATTCTAAAAGATACATGCACCCTAATGTTCATAGCAGCACTATTTACAATAGTCAAGACGTGGAAACAACCTAAATGTCCACTGACAGATGACTAGATAAAGAAGTTGTGGTATATTCATACAATGGAATACTACTCAGACATAAAAAGAATAAAATAATGCCATTTGCAGCAACATGGATGGACCTGGAGACTGTCATTCTATGTGAAGTAAGCCAGAAAGAGAAAGAAAAATACCATATGATATCATTCATATGTGGAATCTAAAAGAAGAAAAAAGAAGACACTAATGAACTTATCTGCAAAACAGAAACAGACTCACAGACATAGAAAACAAACTAATGGTTACTGGGGGGAAAGGGGAGTGGGAAGGGA